CCAACCGCGATCCAACGACCAGGCTCGGACTTCATCTTCTCCCACAAGTACTCTTCTTCCCGCAGTGATCTCTTCACCCGTTTGGGCGAAGGCTCCCCTCTGGGAGAAGGGGGGGGAGCAGCGACGGGGGCGGCGGGAGCAGGACCGGCGGCGGGAGCAGGACCGGCGGCGGCAGCAGGAGCGATGGCGGCGGCAGGGCGGGCGGCGGCAGCAGCGGCAGCAGCGGCGGCAGCGGCGATGGCGCCGGAAGAGGAAGAAGAAGAGGAAGAAGAAGAAGAGGAAGAAGAAGAAGAGGAAGAAGAAGAAGAGGAGAGGGAACGGCGTCGTTTCTGGCCCACAATTTGAGCAGGGGGAGGGGCAGGAGCGGCTGCGAGTTAGCAATGTCTTGGAGAGCTAAAGAACAGATAAACAAGGCCAAGTTCGGCGAAGGTGTGAGAGGTTGGACGAAGAACTCACGCTCAGGACTATCTACGTTGTTGTCCTCTACACTAACCGCCACCATATCATCATCCGAGTGTTCCTCTAACTCGGTTTCACCCCCCGACACGATTCTATCATCCTCATCACTATAATCACCCCCTTTTCCTTCGAAGTCTGACTGATCGTCCGACTCCGAACCACTGAGCGACTCCTGGTCGGAGGAGGACGGAGACTCACCAGGACGAAAGGCGGGCGTCCTGCGGCGAGGGCTGGCGGCAGGAGGGGAAGCAGAGCGAGAACCAGGAGGAGGAGAAGCAGAGGGAGAACCAGCGGGAGGACCGGCGGGAGGAGAAGCGGAGCGAGGAGGCGGGACATCGCCAGACGGCTCCCCCAAAGAAAGGGTGCCGAGGCCGAGGGAGGAGACTTGGCGAGATCTGTCGCCGAAGGAAACTGAACATCAGCCAAGTCCGGCGAAGTAAGGTAAGTGTCGAGGAATAACTCACGAGCAGACGACACCATACCACCAAAGTTCCTCATGGCGGCGAAAGGGTTAGATGTAGGAGTAGAAGGGGCCATGACGTTAAGATATTTAAATGAGAATAAAACTCGAGGCGATGATTCAAGATGGGAAAAAGAGAGAAGGTCGACGAACTGCTCAGTATTTAGTATAATCAAACCTAACCCCTCGTCGTCAACATGCAGCAAACTTCGCGTTTCATCAACAAAAGGCAGCGCAGGGACGATCAAAATTCCCACGCTATAGTGTCTCATCTCAATATAAGCGAGGGTTACTTCGACAAACAACGGTGTTGTTCGGCTGCCATTCAGGAAGCGTGTCTCACCTACAAAAGACACAGGGCTTCTTACGGCAAACCTCGACGAAGTTAGGGGAGTCTCATTGTCGGGTTCTGGAGTGAAAGGAGGCCCAACTACGAAGTGCGGCGCAAAGAGCAGAAGAGTGGAGGATGGTCATGGGGAGGGAGAGAATGGGGTACTACGCTGCTAAGTTCTCTTGCCACGACAGAGGTGTAATCGCTCACGAGGACGTTCGCGGCTAAAGAAGGGGGCGACTGTCACGAACTACGTCGTGACACCTCGATTACTCCACCAACAATGACCCTCCTTTGGCCATCAAAACCCCATCACGCCTTAACCTCTTTACTCTACACGTAACTCAGGACTTCTGACACCAAGTACGGCGAAGTTAGACGGGGTTAGGCTAAGTAGGGACAATGGGAGCAGAAGTACGGCGATGTTAGGCGGGGTTAGGCTAAGTAGGGACAATGGGAGCAGAAGTGCGGCGATGTTAGGCGGAGTTAGGCTAAGTAGGGACAATGGGAGCAGAAGTGCGGCGATGTTAGGCGGAGTTAGTCGAAGGAGGAAGAGGATGGCCGAGGGCTCGGGGAAGTTGGACGAAGTGCGTTGAAGTACGTCAAAGCGCGAGAGGGTTGGATGAACGTCTAGGAGGAGTAGATAATATTAGCTGAGAAGATCGCTGAAGTTCTTCAGCGATCCTTGATTGTTGTCAGTAGTAAAAGACAGATAGAGATAGCTATAAATCAAGATACATCGCCATCAGTAGATCAAAACCCTAGTTAGAGTAACTACGCCGAAGTACGCCGTAGTTACACCCCTTTCGACGTCTGCGCCCTCCTGGTTGGGTGAGACATCGACTCAGAGCGTGAAGTTAGCCGAGGTTCGTCGACCGTCGGTCTATTAAGAAGTAGTTGTTCGACGGCCGTGACACGAAACAAGCTACTACAAGCTTGTGCCGGCAGCCGAGGTGTTCTCAAAGATCAAACATGTTCACTGCAACATTGTTGGACATTCAGGACAAAACAAAACTCTCTCAGAGATACGAGCTCACTATCGCGGGATTGGCAAGTTTGAGATCAAAAAGATGATTGAAGCATGCAATGTTTGCCAGTTGAAGTAAGAGTCTCTCAGTTCGCGGATCATGCTTATGAACAGGGCGCGAAACAAGGACAAGGGGCAACTTCAACCGCTGAAGTCTGATGATCCGTTTGAGCGCATCCAGATTGACTTGATTGATATGCGTGCAAATGTATGTGAGAAAGATGGAAAGAAGTTTCACCGGATCTGTCATATCAAAGACCATTTCACCAAATATTCTCAAGTTGTGAGTCAGTCTTCTTGCAACTTCCGGCACTGACCCCAAGTATCCAATGACGAAAAAGTCGGCCCGAAATGTTGAAGCATGCCTGCTCACATGGATCAATCACTTTGGTGCCCCTGATATCCTTCAGTCTGACAATGGTCGTGAATTCTGCAATACTCTTATCACCAATCTCGCTGAGACATATGACATGAAGATCAAACATGGTCTTCCACGAACACCTCGAGTTCAAGGTCTTGTTGAGCAAGCAGGTGGTACTGTCAAAACACGTCTGTCAAAGTGGTGTCTTGAACATCCAGATCGTCCATGGTAAGCCCTATGCTTTCAGTCTGAGTACTGCTGATTGATAGGATAGAAGGGTTATCTACTGTTATCCGTTCAATCAATTACACAAAGCACAGCGCCACACTTCATACTCCACATGAGGCAGTCTTTGGAAGGAAGCTTCGGGAGATACAACTTTGAACAGTTGGAGAAGATCGTACAATCATTCAGGTGCAGGATGAGCGGGAAGAGATTTCTGATGACGGGTCAGAAGAAGCAGATGAGAGGACGGAGTTGGTGTTTGAATGGGAAGAAGATGACGAGATTTATGGGACACAACAGAATCAAGGAAGTGTCCAGGCTACAGCGGAACCGCTGAACATACTTCAAACTGGTAAGAGACCAAGTGTTCAAAGCTGAATGTCATTCACTGATGCAGCAGAAACCATAGAGCCTTTAGAAAACAGACTCCACATTGCGCGGAATGTCCCTCCTCAAGTCAATGCAGCCGGGTTGGGTGGAACCACTGGTGCTAGGACTGAAAATATCCACTCACAAATGAGGGTACGACCAGAGGTAGTACGAAACCAGATGATAGCTTGATATGGTACAGATCACATACACCACGAGTATGAAAGCAAGGATCAAGTCACGCTATATGTCCCGGCAATTGACAGACTTGGTGCCAATGCTAGTCGGATCCCATGTCTAGTCTGTGAGGTTTTTGACACCAAACCGAAAGCATATCGCTTGCTATGTGAAGCTGGTGTCCTCAACCGACTTTATCAAAGCAAGGTACTTAATCCGGCAGAATTCTATGAGATCCCAGAATCAGTTCATCTCTCCCTCTTTCGATGGAAACAACAGCCTGTCATCTCCCTCAAGGAAGCAGCACGAAAAATCCTGGGTATGTCTTTGTGATTCTCAACAGAGTTTTAAATCTAACATGGTAGGTGTTTCAAAATGTGAAATTTGATGTAGGTGTAAAGGCGACTGCGGCACAAATCAGTGTACCTGTCGCAAGAGAGGACTCAAGTGTTCGCTTTACTGTCACAGGGCAGAACGGGAGTGCTTGAATTTCTCTCGACTCACCGCCACAGAAAGGAATGTGGTCAATGCTTCCACAGATTCGGAAGGAGGAGAAGTGTCAACTGGGAAAAGTAGAGGGAGAAAGCAGAAACGTAAGAGGACCAGCAAGGAGAAAGAGAAAACGCCTGGTACTCCTGAGAGTACGTCTTACTGGATGTTTGATCTGAAAATTGCTGACCATAGATGATGATGGGGAGGAGCATGCCTCTCAGTCTGCTCCTGACATAGAGAGGACTGAGGAAGAAAGCGACTCTACACAAGACACCAATTGGCCCGATCATTGTTCTGAATATGAAACTTGGAGTGATGGAGATGAGAGGGATGTACCACACGGGTTCTGGGATTCGAAAAGTCCACTTGAAGACTATCCTCGTTATTTTCCAGGGAAGGATGAACTGTGGTTAGCAGAGACATGGGAGGTGGATGGAAAGACCTGGGGTCTGGACAAAGAGATGCGTGCTCTAGTTTGTAAGTACAAGGCCTGGTTGTGGCGAGAGGTGATGATGCGCCATATGGCAGGTAGGAGAGGAATGATGCACCGAGGCTTTCGTGGGGAGCATGGAAAAGTGATGACGGATGTGAAAAGTGTGATATTGGCACGAGCTCGTTTCAAAGAGAAGTATGGGGAGTTACTTATTGGGGAGCCCGTATAGAGTGTTATGTAGGTGAAGCTCTTATGCATGTGATATCTTACAGCTTTGTGAATAGCTGATCGTAATCTCCTGTCTAGAACCCCATTATGACAGAGGGTAGTAGTTTTTCCTTGTTGGCAGGTGATTGAGAATGTCACTCCAAACTATGAAAATGTAGGTCATGACACTCCGGAGCAGCATGACCAAAGCTGTGACCCTCCGAAGCGTCACGGGTCTTCGGTGGGTCATGAAGATGGGTCTGGAAACCCGTGACACTTCGAAGCAGCACGGCTTCCGTGCATCACGTAACAGAGAATCCCGTAGCGGGAGTAGTGAAGCGGGAGGTAAGGACTAGAATAGGAACTTTTCCGTGCGAAAAGACTAGAATGGCAGCCAGCCCTAGAATAGCAACAATGGACTAGAATGACATCATCTTTAATGATAACCGTTTGCTTGTCTTACTCTTGATCACCCTCACCCTCTACCCCCTCTACCCGAATGTTGAGGTCATGCTTGAGAGATCCGGTGACGTTTGAGTACTGGGAGAGTGCTTATGTCTGCATGAGGAGAGGATGGACGTGTGACAAGACAATCTGGAATTCCGTTGCTATTCTAGGGTTGCCTGCTATTCTAGTCTTTTCGCACGGAAAAGTTTCTACTCTAGTCCTTACCTCGTGAAGCGGGAACGGGTAGGGTGGAGTACGACTTCTGCGTACAACTCTGAGGAACCCGTCTATAGGTACCCGTGATCCTGACACTGACGAGCCCGCCATGAAGTGAGAGATTATCCGGAGAGGGTGGAACATGTATGATGGATGATATCTGTTAGGGACACGGCCGGAGACGTGCACCTCCGGAGCTGCATGGTTCAAAACCCCCCTCTTGGACCCGGCCAGAGAACCATGCAGCTCCAGAGGGGTCCGCACACGGCCAGAGCTTTCCCACTCTTGTGATCCCCAAGCTCTCCACATACATAAAATCATAGTACAGATATCCTGTGGTACCATCTTCTGGACTCTTCGAGTCATGGTGATCTGTTAGCCGATAGAATCGGACCAGGACGGCCGAACCGCCGTTAGAATTACCCCTTCCGTCGAATATTTCTCCGTTCAACTTATCCTCTGAACTTTATTCGATCGTCTCTGGTTTAATGCGTGTGAGTGGAATGTGATAAGTATAAAGACATGTAGAATTGATGCATGTCCTTTTTCCCCTCTGTATTATCATCTAATTATAAGCGAAAACAGATTAATAGTCGGAAGACACACACCTCTGTGAATATAAAGGCAAGTCCATCATCCTCATTACCAACCTTCTCACAATGTCCTATGTGTCGTCCAAGATCTCGTTTGAGAATCTCCCTAAGTTATCCTACAATCCAGCAATGTATGCTTTGTGGAGGAAGTCGATCGAGGTGTATCTACAGATAGGTGACGCTTCGAATATCGTCACAGGTAATGATACCGAACCTGGTCGAGTAGGGGTTAGGGCGACAGATGAGAGGGCGGGATCAGTACCTCCTAGCACGCCCGTCGAAGGGCAAGTGATTGGTAGGAGGATCACTGGAGAAGAGTTGAAGGAATGGGAGAAGTGGCAGGCGAGTGTCACGAACTATGTCGTGACACCTCAATTATTCCACCAACAATGACCCTCCTTTGACCATCAAAACCCCTATCATGTCTTAACCTCTTTACTCTACACGTAACTCAGGACATCTGAGACCAACTACGACGAAGTACAACGGGAGAATAAGATATACGGGGGCCTGGAGCATAGGGACAACGAAGTACGGCGAGGTTAGACGGAGTTAGGTGAACTAGGGACAATGGGAGCAGAAGTGCGGCGATGTTAGGCGGAGTTAGGTGAATTAGAGACAATGGGAGCAGAAGTGCGGCGATGTTAGGCGGAGTTAGGTGGACTAGGGACAATGGGAGCAGAAGTGCGGCGATGTTAGGCGGGGTTAGTCGAAGGACGGAGAAGGACGGCCGGGACTCGGGGAAGTTGGACGAAGTGCGTTGAAGTACGTCTAAGCGCGAGAGGGTTGGGTGAAGATCTAGGAGGAGTAAATAATATCAGCTGAGAAGATCGCTGAAGTTCTTCAGCGATCCTTGATTGTTGTCAGTAGTGAAAGATTGATAGAGATAGCTACATACAAATTAAGATACATCGCCATCAGAGAAAAACCCCAGTTAGAGTAACTACGCCGAAGCACACCGTAGTTACACTCCTTTCGACGTCTGCGCCCTCCTGGTTGGGTGAGACATCGACTTAGAAGCGTCAAGTCAGCCGAGGTTCATCGACCGTCGGTCTGTTAGAGAGAAGTGTTCGACGGTCGTGACAGCGAGGGAGAATAAAGCGCAAGGGATGATCAAGGGAACAGTGACGGAAGCTGTAATGCTTGACTTATCTGAGAAGATGTCAGCTAATGAAATGTGGGATTACTGCTTGAAAATGCACGTAACAGCCACGAACAAGAACCAGAGAAACGTCCGTCAAGCATTGTTTAGCTATGACTTGAGGGAAGATGCGACGGCCGAAGAGATGGCTAAGCATGTAGAGGATTTCTCGAAGACAATGGCTGAAGCGAAGTTGGTAGAATTGAACTTTGACTCACAGGAACGAGCAGGTCTATTCCTCAATACCATCCTAGCACCAGCATACAGGATCATCCACGTAGAACTAATGTCGGTACCTGAAAAGGCAAGGACATGGGACAAAGTATTGTTGATCTTTAATGCAGAAACGGCGAGACGTAAAGCGCGCCCTGTAGGTAGGACCAACAGAAAGGGATTCGCGATGTTCACCGAAAGGGATAAAGGAATGAGGGTGAACCGAGATAATATCTCTGATGGTCAGCCCAGGAAAGAAACTAGGAAGTGTTATAACTGTGACACTGTAGGACATCTAGCGAAGTACTGTCGTAAACCTAAAAGAGAGGATACGAACAGGAAAGAAAACGCAGTTGGAAAGGATGGAGGTAAAAAGAAATGGAAGAATTATAAGAATAATAAGAAAGGACATACCGTCTCGAAGGATGAGAACCAGTCCAAGGATAACTCCAAAACCTCCTTGATGTATTCGTCATTGGATGGTGATCATGAGGCGTGGGCCGGGATGGCCATGTCGACAGAATCATGGTTCGATGATGACGAAGGGTACACGAGTAATATCGTATGGCCCGAAGAAATTGAAAACCTGTGGGTTGAGGATAATGAGTGGGTGGGATTAGCTACAGAGTCTAATGACGTAAGCCACACTCGTGTAATCCCCACCTGGGTAGTGGATAGTGGTGCTACTCACCACATAACTCCTCACAGATCGATAATGACCAATATTAAAAGACAAGTAGAACCAAGAGTGTTCGGTCTAGCATCTGGCAAGTCAATGACGGCTTGGGAAACAGGTGACATTAATCTCGAACTAGATTCAGGACAAAAGATGGTACTGAAAGACATACATCACGTCCCCACAGCGAAGATAAGTCTTCTCTCCCTTTCGAAGTTACTCTCATGGGGATGGAAGGCAAATCTAAGCAGTGGTGGTGGATGGATAGGTAAAGGTAAAGAGAAACTAGGTTTGAGGAAACATGACTCACTGTGGTCGGTACGATTCGGTAGGGCAATGTCGGCCGTGATGATCGTGATATCGACACCGAAGGCGACTTCACCACTTGAATCTGAGCATCAGCGACTCGGGCATATAGGTGTAGATAAACTAAAGAATCTAGGTAGACAGGGACTATTGAAGTAGGATTGGGACACTTACAAGAACGATCCCTTTACAACTGATAAATGTCCCGCCTGTATGCAGGTCAAGATAACACATCTACTGAAGAATAAAGAAGCACCAATGTTAAAAGGAGATGGTGAAGGAGTAGGAATGGATGTCGATATTACTGGGCCGTTCGGTCCGGCGATAAAAGGTGAACGATATTTCTTCGTTGGTGTGGAAAGGGCGAGTCGAATTGTATTCACAATACCAATAACGACGAAGAACAAAGCATCTGATATCGTTCGACAGTGTATTTCGAAATTAGAGAAACAGCTTGGTGAAAGAGTGAGGGTGATTAGGTCTGATGGGGGAGGTGAATTTGACAGTCTCGACATGAGGGAATTCTACCTGTCAGCGGGGATCAATCACTACATCACACCAAGATACACACCAGAATTAAATGGAGTGGCGGAGAGAATGATATGTACCTTAAAGGGGATGGTATTAACGATGCTGTTTGACTCAGGACTACCGAACGAATATTGGTCCTATGCTGTCAGATACGCCGCCATTATAATTATGAAAACATCGATAGGTGTCAGAGGTAAATCAGGCTGGACATCACTCACAGGTAGAGACACGAACTTAGATAGCGTGTGGAGATTTGGCGAACGATGTTTTGTTCAGATACCCAGGGAGATAAGGCTGAAGTCGAACTTCACGATACCTAGGGGTTCGTCAGCCATTATACTGGGTCAGGATGAGGGTGTGAGCGGTTGGATCGTTAGAATGGACGGATCGGGACGAATCGAACACTCACGAGACGTTCGTCGCTCGACAGGACGAATGGTGGCTACTAGAGAGTCGCCAGATATCTTCCAAACCCGTCTCGACGCCATCGAAGTAGACCTAGACCCCGTTGTCAACAAAGAAATTTTCCCTGACGACCGCTCAGAAAGTGGCGGACAGGAAAATAACGATAATGAACAAGGAAATGATGTTGATAGAGACAACTCACCTAATATAGGTCCACAACCTACTGAAAGACGACGTGGACAGGGCATCTGGGGAGGAAATTGGGTCTATGAGAACGATATCGTCGAAAATGAAAGAAATGATGAGGAAGGAATAAATGATGGGGACGAGGGGATCGTGATGACACGTCACGGACAAATTATTCGACCCCCCCACCGTTGTGCGGGCCTAACAGACCCGTTCCTAGAATTTGGTTGTGAGCCTAATAGTTTGGCGCACTCGCCTCTATCGCAGGTATTGAAAGCGACACTTCTCTCATTGATCCTGTCTCTCCTGAAGAAGCAGTAAACGGCCCAGATGGTGAGAAGTGGCTAGAATCCATGGAGAAAGAGATATCCAACACAGAATCTAAGGATACATGGGTGGAGACGGTACTTCCACCGGGACAAAAAGCCATTGGATGTAAGTGGGTATTCAAAGTGAAGACAGATTCTGAGGGAAACTTACTAAAGTACAAGTCACGACTAGTAGCTCAAGGCTTCTCCCAGATACCAGGTGTCGACTACGAAGAAACATTCACACCTGTAGGAAGATAGGGATCGTTGCAAATACTCTTGACTATAGCAGCAACCGAAGATCTCGAAATTCATCAGGCCGATGTCGAAGGGGCATATTTAAACGGTAAACTCGATGTCGAAATTTACATGAAGTATCTCAAGGGGATAAAACCGAAACCTGGATGTAATACCTTGAAGTTAATAAAGTCTCTTTACGGTTTAAAACAATCGGGTAGAACATGGTGGATAGAACTCGGCAAAGGATTATCTCACCTAGGTTTTTCAAGAATCGAATCAGATTGGGGTCTTTACTATAGACCAGAAGGGAAAATCGAAGGAAAGGGAGCAGCAATACTGCTAGCCTATGTCGATGATCTAGTATTAGCCACAAAATCGAAGGAAGAAGCAAGTGAAATTTTCGATGGGCTAGGGAAAAGGTGGATAATAACCGACCTGGAGGAGATAAGTACCATTCTCGGTATGAAGGTAACAAGGAACAGAGAAGAAAAGACAATATGGTTAAACCAACCAGCGTACATTGATAAGATAGTTCAGAAGTTTCCAGGAAACGACTTACATTGAGACCGAAAAACGCTGTTACCTCTTACTGCCAAAAATCCTTTGATGTCGGAGGTGGAAAGTGAAATTCGACCATTTCAAGAATTAATAGGGTGTCTACAGTAGTTAGCCACATGTACACGACCAGATATATCCTATGCAGCCTCATACCTTGCTAGGTACCTCATCAAACCGACAAAGAAAGTATGGGAGGAAGGGATAATGGTAATTACCTACCTTCGGTCCACTCGTTTACATGGTATTCGTCTTGGTGGCGAGGCTAGCGATCTAGCAGGATGGGTTGATGCCGATTGGGCAGGATGTAAAGACACACGACGATCAACGACAGGCTGGATTTTTATGATGAACGACTCACCGATAACATGGAGTTCAAAAAGACAAGCTACAGTATCGTCGTTGACAGTCGAAGCAGAGTACATCGCAATGGCTGAAGCAGCGAAGGAAGCTCAGTGGTTGAGAGGATTACTGAGGGAGATAGGCTACGATCAGCTAAATCCTACTATATTAAACTGCGATAACCAAGGATCAATATCACTAGCGAGGAAACCTGGTACTCACCAGAGGACAAAGCATATCGATATTCAACATCATGCTCTTCGAGATCTAGTCAGTAATAAAGTTATTGAACTAGAATATGTCAGCACTGTCTATCAGAGAGCAGATGTACTCACGAAGGCTTTAGGTGGACCAGTACATTCGGTGAATATGTCAGCGATACGGGTAGAACCACCGAAGAAGAAAAACATTGGTTCAGTATACGTGACATTAGATGATGATGAAATCATCGATTACAATTATTCTGATTTCGAGGATCTAGGAGATCTCTCAGGTGGTACAGAGAACGAAGTGGTACTAGAGAGAGAAGTGTGGGTAGAAGGAACTTCAGAGAAACCCACCGAAGAAAAAGAGCCCACCGAAGGAAAAGTTCTCGTGAGCCACGAAAAATTTTCGGGTGTACCTATGAATGTGAGTAATTCTAAGATAGGTCAGAAGCCACCGGTAGAACCTAGAATCATTAGAGAGATAAGAGAGAGAAATAAGGAGAAGAAGGAAAAGATAAAAGAGAGAAAAGATGGGAGGATACATCATCGACTTCCTAAGGAAGTTGTTCCCACACATCATCACGGATCATGTATCCCAGCAAGTTCTCCACATGCTGACAGGCCCTTTCGAAATCGTAAAGAATATCAAAGAAGGGTGCAGATGCACCCTGCACAGCGTTCGAAAGAGATACCAGCAACCTTTGGAAGAAACGGATCTGGCGACATGCCACCTCCAATGTGCGGACCGAGAGGTCAGACAATTCAGAAGGTCAGAGATAATTTTCATGATAAAGTGACTAATGAACGTACCATGCGCCTCACCAGGCCTCATGAGAGGAACCAAGGGATCGATACCACCTGGAAGTGGCAAAGACATAATGAAATTTCGAAAGAAAATAAAAGTTTTTCAGTGGGAGGCGAATCTATGATATCTCGTCAGCCAGGACCACGATAAAAATTCATCGATTCTTGGGATTCTACTAGCAAACCTGAAGTTTTAAGAAGTAGACAGGATATAAGGAAGTTCAGAGAGTCAGAAATGAGTGATAAAAGTGGAGAAAGACGAAAGGTGGACATACCGTTAATTGGAGGTAAAAGTGATGCAGTAAAAGGAAAGATAGAGAAGAGTGAGTCGTCAGTAGTGAGTGGTAGCCACGTGTCAGAGCGTAGCCCCGCGGGGGGCCCCACAGAAATTCATTTCACAATTTCACCTACCACTACTACCACACACATAACACTCAACATTTCATCATTACTACCTTCTACATCATCACAAACCTCGCCGTCGCCATCGATAAATCGTCCGGGACTACTGCAGAGTCGTGCATTGTCCCGTGGGGGAGTGTTAGCCGATAGAATCAGGCCAGGACGGCCGAACCGCTGTTAGATAATTACCCCTTCCGTCGAATATTTCTCCGTTCAACTTATCCTCTGAACTTTATTCGATCGTCTCTGGTTTAATGCGTGTGAGTGGAGTGTGATAAGTATAGAGACATGTAGAATTGATGCATGTCCTTTTTCCCCTCTGTATTATCATCTAATTATAAGCGAAAACAGCACAAGATGACAGGAAAGTGAAAGTTTATTTATGGTGTGACTACAAAGGTGTTAGGGACACAGCCGGAGACAGACCCCTTTCGGAGCTGCATGGAAAACCCCATGCTCAGCCGCAGACATTTCACTCTAGAGTGGAACAGCTGCCATTCCATTTCAGAGAAATCTTACGTCTCACCTGCTTCAAACATGATTCGCATGATATGACACAGAATCTTGGAGAATCGATCAAAGGGGATGGTCACTGAGAGCACTGTCAGCGCGTCAGCGTTGGCAATATAGTTATGTTACGTGGCGGACGGGAGCCGTGACCCTTCAGAGTGTCATGGGAGTCGGCGTGATAGGCAGAAGATCTGCAACACTTCAAAGTGGCCCGTCGTCCGTTTGTCACCTAGCATATACTCCCACTACACAGTCTCTCCGCGGTAAAGGACATGCGAATCGCTAGTGCTCTTTCCACCCTCCCGTGTTCTACTGGCTCCAAGAGTCAACGCCATTGCTGCATGCATTCCTGACCTGCATGATTTGTCTTCCACTTTGGCCCTATTGAGACTAGCTCCTCAACACCAATACTCATGCCTCTTGGGCCAATGTCTTGCGATGATCATGCAGAATTTGGAACAAGTGTTGAAGTGGTCGTGTACTTACACAGCTTCCAGAGCAGGCTATGACACACTGTCAATGACAAGAAGTGTCAACTAGGTGTGCTAAAGAGGTAGTGTAGTTTTTTTGAATGACCAGCATTGAGATCTCTGGCTGGGTCTGGACACCTCTGGAGGAATCTGAGGAGTACAGTTGAGGAGTTATCAATACTCAAATGTTGGTGACGCACACATCAAGACAGCCAGGAGGTAATAGACAGTGTTAGGTGAAAGAAGGAAGCTGTGACACTTCGAAGCGTAATGGGGCTCATGATGACCATTGGAAGATGTGACCCACAGAACCACAGAAGAATCCACGTCAACTTGACTGCACATGTTTCAGACTGTGTCCTAAGGCTAGACTAGGCGGATGAAGCCATTGTACAATGTCCAGCCAGAAAGACAAGCCAGAAATGCATGTTTCTCCTCTCTTATGGTGTATCATCAAGAATCAATTAGCGCTTTTTTTTCACCTCATGCGTGCAGCAAGTTGAGCAGAAAATTGCTCTGGTACCTCCACACAGCCTCCAGCATCCCTCTACAAAAAGGTGTGATTGTCTAAATCAATGGTTGTTGGTGAGGAGCAATTCTTCTGTGGGTCATGGAGTCCAAGTGTCACAGGAGAAAGTCATGACACTCCGAAGTGGCACAGATCCTCTGTTGGTCATGCTAAACCCTGTGAGGCTCCAAAGTGTCACAGCTTCCGTGGGTCACGTAACAGACAGTCTTCACAGGGAGGGAGTTCCCCAATCAAAACTGTCCTGAAGCTTAAAATATGAATCTGGCTTTGTGGAGTTGACCTCCTTCTTGGTGTTAATTGACACATGGACAATCAGACGGGACATAGAAAGCTTCAATATGCATGCCTTGCACACACACATGTCATCTCCTCATGCATATGTTCTCTCAACGTCTGCCCCACTAACATAGTGCTTGGGCCCTGTATGTTCATTCATACTCAGGGTCGGATCCGCTTGCGGCAGCCCCCAAAGTCATGTTTAGAGAGTATTTGAGTCCAAGATAATGGTTATAATCATCAATAATTCCACTGGTCCAAGAAGTCTGCCAGCCCTGATCTTCCATCAGTTGTGCCAAAGTTGGCAACTTCCCCTCCTTGTCAAGGTTGGGATACAAAGTACTAATTCCATTCTCTGGACATGTCCAGTTGGAATTTGCCTGAAAGTACCTTACTGGACTATCACCAATCTTGCAATAAATGGCCAAGTCAAGTTCCGGTTTCTCATGTTCAGCCTGTTTTGACGTGAGGATGTGAGACGGAAGCTTAAGCTTCTCGAGGGCCGTCCTGCTCACTTGCCATGGGAGAGTAGAGAGAGCCGGATTCAGAACAAGTTTAGGCTGCCAGCGGACAAGAGAAGTCATACCAATGCTCTGCCCTTCCACCAAATAGAATTCTTTCCGAGAAGCTCTTATAACCTCAGTGGGAAGTGGTACTGGGCCCTGAATGCTGTAAGCTGGACTCAGTGATGGGTGTGATTGAGGCATGGATACTGTGTTGGATTATGGTGTGCCAAAGCTCTGACACAAAAACACATGTCAGACGCTAAATGGCTGTGGTAGGAGCAGTAGAGCATACAGCTTGTGAGGTGTCACGTCATTACCTGGGATTGGCTATAAAGAACACCACTCACTTGGCTAGCAAACTCCCCATATTGTGTTTCAGTCAGAGGCTGTGCTCCAGCATCAACATAGCAAGAAAAGGCTGGCCTGGAGGTCATGGTAGGAGTGCAGGCAATGTTCCAAAAGAGGTGCGTTGTATGTACTAGGGGACAGGCATGATTGGGATTTATCTGTGAGCAATGAGATAGGCTGTGAATGTAAGTTGAATGAAATGAAGTGTTCAATACTGTGTTCATAGTCTTTTCAACCTACTACCATTTCAAAGGTAGCATTACCCTTCATAGCATTCAAAACTACAACTCATCCACTCTCACAGGCTTTCTGGCATAGCTTAGTAGCAAGATGAATGGATCACTTTTGAAATATGACGTCGTGCCTTCTTCCACTTTTTCGGCCTTCGAAAATCTTCACTCGCATACTCTCCTGTCACTTCCCTCCAACTTTCCTCCATCTTGGCCCAGATGGTGGTGGGGATTTGAGTCAAGCGCTGCAGCCATCGCCATCCGGCCATGACGGGATCCCCACAGTCTTACATACCACATCACTCTATCTTGGGACAGGAACTGAGCCGGGCCAAGTGGACAGGAAGTTTTCTCAACCACTTTCGTGGGATAGATTGCTCCGTTCCCAGGGGATTGGCGGCGAATTGCTCACCCCAAAACATCGGTGATACTCCTGTCCCGTCTCCCGGACTGTCCGAACCCAACTGAATGGATCAAATCCTCTCGATTGAACTATACTGGCTAATGTCTCTTGCCGAGTTTTGGGATCGTTTGACAGTGACTGAAAGTGAAATTCTTTGCCCTCCAGAAAATAATATGGGACCATGACTCTACTCGCTTTCTCGTCGGACTCACGTCGTACCGCAGGCAAAAACACTCTCCTCTCAGTTCTATCTGGGCATAAGCTTTCTGTTTTTAAGGAAACAATACTCAATTTTGGAACATGCGTACTCTCTCCAGGTAGTGTTTCGTCCTGGAGCTTCCAAATAATGTAATGTACAGTCTTTACTTCCTCATTAGAAAGATGCAAGTCGAGACTTTCAGTATCTCCATCGTACCCAATGTCAATTGCACCGTCTTCTTGATCAAGATTGACAGAATCCTCTTCGCGACGGCTCGCATCAGTGTCACCTGTCTGCTCCATCGAGTTTTGTAAAGTTCCCGCCGCTCGATTACTGACAGGAACTCGAGCGCTGCATATGTAGGCAGGTAGGTTTACCGGTCGCTTTGAGGTAAGCATGATCATTCTCACCACCAATGCGGCTGTATTACATGAGAAGAACTTACGGGATTTGTCCCGATGAACGTATCCCAGTCTAATTCTAAGGGAGATATCGGAATTCCAGGTGACTCATCAGCCGATCCAGGCTGGGCGGGTGCGTGCATGGTAGCACCATACAAACGTGGAACAGTGTCAGACATGGTTCAACCGGGGAAACGGGCGGTCAAGCAAATGTCGGTTGAGCTTGTCAAATTGGTCCACGTTGGTGTGAGTCAGATGGTTAAGGACTGCAGGGGTTTTGGACAAAGTATGTTCTGATGATGGTTTGATCTGGGTTTGATTTTTGAGCCTTCCATACAATCCATTCAAGACCATGAGAAGGGATGTCATCCACTACTCTCCTCACCACTATGACGTCTCGACCATTGACGTTCGTAGTTTGGGTGCACCACTAACACCGAGATGGAAACCCGTTCATACAATCGTACTCGGTCATAAGCAATTCCCACCATTCATGTAGACGATGCATAGGGAGTGCCAAGTAGGTTGAGGTCGTCCGGACTGACATCCCCCAATCCGCGCGAAATTTCGTTTGTAGTGCCACACTCAAAAAGTGCCACTGTCTGTGACGGGATCAGATTCATTTAACCCCGTCACCCTCCAACCCGCGAGGATAACCCCATTGATAACATCAACATACCCAACGATAGTGAGGACCCATGATGATACGTTCTCTGTCACAGGTCAAGGGACAGCGTTCCCTAGCATTTTCTGCTATCCCACTTCGACAACTCTCCGCTTCGGCCGTTTCTCGAGCGAGTCACCATGATCATCACGAACAACACCACGGTCATGGTCAGGAAGAATCCAGCGATGTTTATACTACGGAATGTGAGTTTCCGTACTGCTCTTATACCCTCTAGCCCTTCTGAACTGTGAGTTAAAATGACAACTCAGCATTCCTCTCCCCCGCATGGCGAAACACATTCATCCTCATCGCCGCTTCCCTCGTCATTTACCCTTACCTACCTTCTCCTGCCAAAACCCCCGCCTCTCCTTCCACATCCCCAGAGGCATTCTCTCGTACCGCTCAAGACTCAAACGCTCCACTTGTCACACGTCTTATGGCACGAATCACCCCCGAGGCCGAGGTCTGGACCAAGAGGAATGACAAGCATCTCGAGTTGACCAAGGAGATGGCGGAGCAAAGATTATTATTCCAGGAAGCAGAGAGGCCCAAAATTTGGAGAATGAGGTATCCCAGGTAGATTTACGATGTCACATACTTCCCTTCCAACCCCCCCACCCTCCTTCCTCTGACTGATCCTCAACCAGGCTACTCGTGTCCCTGATTCCAACAGCATATCTTGCTACTTTCTCCGCGTGGCTATTTGATTCTCAAGCGCACTCTGAACTGGGCTGATAATCAGTTCATTCGAGCAAGCTTCCCCTCATAGTATTCCTGTCGGCTCACAAGTCGACCTCTCGGACCTTCACGTCAGACAAGATTGAGGGACACGGCGGCATGAAATATGCATCGGAATGATATGACGTTAGCGACGACGATGACACTGAATGTTCTTTTTTTGGCGGTCATCACTCATTCAACTCTCGTCGCTACCACTCCACCGACATCAGGACTCAACTCACCTGTACTGACTCGAATATAGCATCTCGCTCATGTCCCATTCTCCTCTCTTCAGCCGTCGATGATTGATCCTCTACCTCGGTTCTATGACCGGTGAGAGCGAGAACCCTCAAGAACTTTGGGTTGTCAATATGGGGGGAAACGTTCACCTGGCCGAAATACCCAACCCCGACTCCTGCGCAGCTTGATCTCTTCCTCCCTCCTGTCACACATGGTGAGAAGGATTTGGCCGTGCATCGCCTGCCGACTTCAAACCCTGCCGACAACTCAGGCAGCATCGTCATGACTGTCCGCTGCCCGTTCTGCCGCGTGACCGATGTGTGAGAGGTGGGGTACTGGGCGGGCGATGACTTAGGTTTACTGAGGCAGGAGCAAGCACCGTGGATGACGAGGAGTAGTCAAATGAGTCATTGTTCTTCCCTTGTTCTATCCATCTACTTGACCGTTAGGCCTTTCCTCGAAGAGAGTGTGCATCAGAAAGATCCTTTCATCGTCCAATACCATGACATCATTTACGTCCTCCCCGTCCTCCAAACACCGTGGGTAATCTCTACTGTCCCGTGAGAAAAGTGTATGTCGGAGTCAGCTCACGCTCAGGATATAGTTACTCTTCCTGTCCCCTCTCATCCTGCTTCCGATACATCATTCCCTACCAGCAAGTAACGGAGATGACTGAGAAAACAAGCACTTCTGCACCAGTCCTTGGTAGGTCTCATGGAAGAGAGATGGCCAAAGCTAATTTTACAGAGCAAGAGAGAGAAGCTCGTGTATTCGGGACCCCTGCCAACGGTAAGCCACGTCGAGGAGTGAAGGGAAAAGCTTAAATTACAGAGGAAGGGGGATTTCACAGTGCTACAATGCAGCTCATAGAGAAATTGGAGACCGTGAGTTGTTTGGCACCTCTTGATCATGATAGAGTAGCTGAAAAGATTAGTCCCGTGAGGTCGTCATTGATATCCCGGAAGGGAACATGACGAGTTCCAAACGACACGGTGAGAGTGGCCTTGCCTTTATTTGGTGCAGACCCTTTCTTCCCACACGTGAGCTTATGGAGCCGGGCCGGAAAGTGTACCTGTCACATTTGACCAGGGAAACAAATGAGATGCCTAGAGACACGTTCTCGGACTTTGCGATATTTTCATGGAAGAATGATCCACTTAATGGCTCAAACCACACTCAGTCCCCGTTTGTGCATGTCAAGAAATGGATTATCCCCAATGTTTCAACCAATCTGGACACTCCCAGCGAGTTGAGACATTTCGCTGAAGCTGCCGGTTTTACAGTGGTTCAGGAGTGGACAGAAGGAGACCAGTGTCAAGGAGCACTGTATCGTTGCTTCTCCATCCGATACGACCATTTGTATATACTTGAACCCGAGTTCCAGTCGGGACCAGACCAATCAAGCAGAGTGCAAGATGTTTGAGAGGATATCTGCCCTGATTGCTACCCTTTGACCGGCTGATATTGAATAAGCTGCATGATTTCCGAGGGGATTCGGTCAGTAGAACTGCATGATCCTCTGCAAATCCATCAATACTCCTGCATAGTTTCAGTAATCTTACACTCGGAATGTATTACTTGTTGCGCAACCATGGTTTCTGTCAAGTGCTCGCCCCGGAGTGAAGAATGACAGCATCAAATGGGTGAAAGCTGTAACAGACGCTTGAGACCCATAAAGCTTTGTGGCGAGACTGAATATTAGTACCTTCAGTAAATGCCAGAGGCTGGTGGTGGAGGGTTGAGCAAAGGAGTTTGCTCTAATTCGGTGTTGTGAAGGCGGGATTGCTAGATGTGGCCTAGCCGCACGTCAAGCAGGAAGGTCGTTTCTAGTGTATACTCACGCTTCCACAGTGGTGACACACGCATGCTGACGGTCAGGACCAGACGTTGAAAATAGTCTGCGTCTATGAGCTATGGCTATAGGGCCTCGCAGGGAACAGACCTAGTGATGTAGTTTATAGTCTAGTGTTACGGAGTAACAACGAATCGAGAGAACTACATCGAACTCGACGGATTAGGAAAGAGAACGGCGAGAGTTGGAGGCAGTGCTGCAGTAGGTAGGGACGGGTTTTCCCTTTTCGAGATTTCCCCACTGGGTTTGCTCAAAAGCGGTTTTTCACCTGTCCGAGTATGTACATAGACGCTTGCAGTAGGACGGGAGTAAGACACGGATACCTGTAGACAGTATATAGTACAATCAGCAAAGTACCAACTTTGCTGATTCTTCAATATCATTCTTTGGCTACATCGATTGCAGAGGAGACACAATTCATTGGCACCAGAGACGCCCAGACTTCTACGAGAGTTCCATCGAGTTCGACCCAACCTGCGATCTAGTCATCGTGTTTCCAGTACCGTTACATGTAGTTTATAGTCTAGTGATGTAGTGGATCAAAGAGACTATAAGTCAATGAGATCAAGTGGCAAAAGATTTGCTAAGTGACAAGAAAATACATTTGACAAGACATCTACGAAAAAGGGCTGTTTCTTTATACTAAAAGGGGAGTGGAGTGATACCAAAATCTACGGAGTAAAGATGGGAAGTAATATGGGGTGGTAGAGCAAAGGAAGGCGGAGATAGATGAGGGACACGGAGATTACGGAAAAGTATTGCAAGGCAAAGAAATAGCGATTAGGTATGAAAGGAGAACAGACGGTGCCGTAGCGGGATTAGTGAAGCGGAGACGGGAACAGGTATACGGTGGCCCGTTAGTCCTTCAAAATGGCGTTTTTGGAAAATGGCTTTTCCAAAATTCGTTTTCCATTTTCCAAGATGTATGCCACACCACATACAACCACCTACTAAAAACTTGAAACTCTACGACCCTTTCACCCCCCTCACCCTCTTAAGTCATCTATCCATCCATCATGCCGCTTTGCTCAACCTGCAATACAGCCTATCCCAAACTCACAGAGAAGCTCTGCGGGCTCTGTGTACTCAGAATCAAAGCCGTGGATGACAGTTTCTTTTCTTCGTTACTATCAAGTGTATGTTCTCTCCGCGCATTGACATCATCTGATGGTTCAGGGAACTGTCTTTGCCTGCACCTCATGTGGGACCAGAGGTATCAACGAGAGTGAGGGCTGGATATGCAACAACTGTAAAGGTTTGCTGCGATGCTAGAGCGTGTGTACAATGTGCTGACGTTGCAGCAAACTCATCACCGGGCACCATGATGTCTGTTCCTCGCTCTTTTGCTTCCTCAACTCCATCCTCTATGACAGCCTCAACTCCAGCCTCTAGTTTCCCCAGCACAGTACGCTCCTTGGCTGTGACAAAAGCCAACAATGCTGCTGGGGCTAGAGAAGGTCTTGGGGTATGTGCCATCGTACTCACAAGTGTCTCTGTGACGGGTGAGTGGAACTCATCCATTCAATTGCCGTTGACGTGTAGCATTGTCAAAGGCAAACAGCTACAAGAAGTCCGCCAAGTGGCCTTACGAGATTCCAAGTTTTCGAGCTGAATGGCACACGGCACTCAAGGATGTCTTTGAGACTGCTTGGACCAAAGTGGTGGAGGCGTGGAATGGTGCCGGGCAAGGACAGGAGGTCTACAATTTTGACATTGAAAGGTGAGCCGTTGGTTGATGATCATGACGCTCATATAGTAGTTCTGATCGCTTTGAGTACCTCCACACTCCTCATGGTGAGAATGAACGTGTCAACGTGGATGATTTCAAGAAGTACACAACTCTTTCACACTTCTTCCGTCAGGAATACCTCTCCGCACATGCTGTGTATGGACGTAAACGTGACACCAAATCAAGCCGCATTGTCATTCACTTTGAGGTTCGAGCACCACGTGAAAGTACTCTGGTCAGTTCTCAGCAAGTCCTGTCATTAATGCTGACATTGAACAGAAGCGTGAACTTTCAGACAGTTCCAACGACCATCAGGAGCCGGTCTCAAAGAAGACATGTGTGGAGGACAATCAGCCAGTGGCTTCAGAGCCCCTTATGGCCGAAGAAACGTTGCAAGCCTTGCAGGATCTCCAACAGACATTGATAGAGAATGGTGAGTGCTTTATGTGACTGATCTCATATTGACTTGTCAGAGCTCCTTGAAGCAAATGAAGGGGATGAACAGGAAGTCATCTACTTCCACCGTATTTATGCAGATCCAACCACAGATGATCTGGATCCTATCCAGGCTGAGATGATGGAGACTGGACGGTTGGACCGAATGTGGTCAGAGCACGGAGCCTTCAAGCTAATCTACCATGTAAGTCACCACCTGTAGGCCCAGCTTATGCAACAGCTACACGTAGGAAAAAACCACTGGGTTGCCAAGCGGCATTACTCAATGATCTTCGCCACAGATCCAGATGAACACACCGTCATCCTCAGTGAAGCACAACACTTTCATCTAAACTTCAAAGAGGTGCAGAAAGCCACTCAGCTTAAGCTCTGGGCAGAGGATTTCCACCAAGAGGTTCAATGGAAGTCTGAACGTCGTGAAAGACGTGACAGTTGTGAGTGGAATCATCTCCCCCGGGCTGACTTCTGTTGATCCCATTGAGTAGCTTTCAAAGTCACTGAGGCTTTTGTCATACAAGAAGCAGCACCTACCGATGGTCGAGAGCATCCTCGCTCATGGATTGTGGAGCAATGCTTGACCGAACAGCCAGCTAGCGCACATCCCCTCAAAACATGGAACAGCTGCTTTGTAAAATGGAGTAACATTGACTATGTTGCTCCAAAACCAGATGATTACCAGCTCTTGACCAAACTCATCCTGGAAGATTTAGATGCGTGGATTCACTGGGTGTTTGAAACCAGTAACAGGACACTAATTCCGGCAGACATACAAGGTAAGTCCCTGTTCAAGGATGGCGCTCATCTTCAGGCTTCCTCACTTCTGTAGGAAAGGTCCCCGCAACTGCTCGACGTTCTTTCATTCTGTTTGATTTGCTCACTCACACGTGGGTGAAAGTTTGCCTCAGGAGTTGACATCATGCTGATGTATAGGCTTCCTAGAGACTCCGGCCCTGGTGACTGTGGATATCCCAAGCTACATCGTTTTGTCCATCGACACAAGTGTAACACTGTATGTGTTGCATTGGGGCTTGACAACATGGAGCGTGCAAAACCATCCAGTATTGTACCGGTACAGGAGGAGCCCCATCCTACTGAACTTCCGTTTTGGAGAAAGGATGAAATGAAGGAGAGAGGATGGGTGGCAACGTACAAAGGGTCGGATGTCCTTAGTGAGGACGAGGTGCAAGAGGCGTACAATCTCATACCCTCCTCTCCACCCCCAATCCCTAATCTTGCTTCAAAACGTCTGGATATGACAAAGTTTTGGCCCTTCTAGCTTGAAGTAAGTAGTCGGTAGAATTTGATACAGCTTGACCCGTAGTTGTGTAGAAGATGAATGAACCACTCACGTATTTGCATCGTTTCTATCTCAACTTGATTCTTTCCTTTCTTGCTCTTGTGCAAACGTTCATATGCCAACCTCAAGAACAAGACCAGTTATTCCACGTAGGTGTTTGCATAAAGCCATTCTCAGCTTATGTATGCAGCTACACCAACACCAGAGCTGGAACAAGCAATTTACAGTGCTTATCAAAGCGGAGCAAAGTCGTGGAAGGATGTGAACCGGCAACTTGTACAACAAAACTCAGATTGGCTGTTTGGGTGTGTCACCGTTCCTGCAGGTATGCTGTAGTTGCTAACTTACAGGTCCAAGACCGCTTTTTACAAGACTTGTAGTATCATGAAAATACCAGGTTCTCGAAAGGGGGCTTTGACCCCCGAACAACTTAATGTGGAGATTCGGAACCTTGATGGCATACACAAAACCCGTGGATATCGTGGTGTTACTCATGCGCTCAGCTTAAAGGGACTTGTTGTCACTCGGTATGACCTCCTGATCACCAAGAGGATTTTACTCACACCGCAGTAATGCAGTATACCGACAGCTCCAGATGATTGATCCACAAGGTCTTCAAAACAGGTCACGAGGCTCTCGTCGTCTTCGGCGCTTTCCAATCATCAGTGCCGGCCCCAATGAGCAATGGTCAATGGATGGCCATGACAAGCTTGCAATGTGGGGATTTGGAATATATGGGATCAGGGATGTATACTCCGGTTTCCTCCTGGCACTGCATGCCTTTCCAAGTAATCGTCTGGCTGCCAATGTCCACTGGCTTTTCCTGGAGACGATTTTAGAACAGAAGGGTACGTACAGGTTCTGTATTCAGCAGCAAGCTTACAGATAGGCTACCCTATACAAGTTGCAAGTGATAGGGGCTCTGAGATGGGGCAGATTTCAGAAACACAGTTTCTTCTACGGTGAGAGTTATGAACAACCTCATGTAACAGTGTGCTGAAATATACAGTCAGACATATTCCACACCTGAACTCGATGATGTCCCACCTCATATCTGTCTGAAGTCCCTTCGTAACATCACAATTGAAAGGCAATGGGTCCATGTGCGGAAGGAGGTGGTGGACCTTATTCTTGAAAAAATACAAGAGGGACTTGAAAGGGGTTTTGTATGGACGAATCCAGCTCATCGGTAAGTGGTCTTTATACTGTCAGTAATATGCTGAGATTGCCAAAGCTCTCTATTTTGGTGGCTCTTTGCACCCTTAGTTCAAGGCTTATTGGCTCAGCATGTCACCTTCCATAACTCCTTTTGGGTTCGCCGACAGCCCACAAAACCCAATCCATCTGGTGGACGTAGACAAGATTTCTTCAAAAGCCCAGAGAAGTTTGGGGGAGTAGAGTGTCTGCAGCGAATACAGCTAGATACCATCAGAGAGATCATGGAGATACGAGACAAAGTAGTGACAGAGGGTATGCTGCGGTGGATCTCAGAGGAGGAAGAGAAAATTTGTTTGAATGCACATTGGGCACTAGGTGCATCTGCGGCATGTTGGACATTACATGAGGTATGGAACCTCTTCGAACAAATGGTACCGTTGACACAGGCTCATTTGACAAGAGTTTTTGAGCAGATGGAAGTGTAGTCATATGATATCAAGGACCCACTATGTCCGCTGCAGAGGTTGCTTGTCAATGTGGAGAGGTGAGGTGGGTTGCCTATGGTTACAAATAGAATGCATCATTCAATTACTTCCTCGTAGCCTGTCTCCTCACTAATCTCATCTTCGTCAAAGATGATGAGATCATCTGAATCTACACCCTCCAATGGTCCACTAACTACCTTACCACCCTCCTGCTTCCCCAACAGACTCTCAACATGACGGCATGTATAAAATATCGCAATTATTCTATCTTTCCTTGCAGGACCTTCTCCAACAGCGTGATGAATGAGATTAGAGGTGGGGGCTATGAGAACATCACCAACACCAAGACAAGCATCAACATGGAGTTGAGGGAATCGAGTGAAGCCTGGATCACCGGATAGTTGAGTGAAGAAGGTGGGAATAGAGTCCACATCATTCTGGTCAAGGTGAGGGAGACGAGCCTCACCATACCCAATTGCCACCGCCATTGCCATACCACCAAATCTCATTCCACTCCCATTTCCCTTTTTACTGTAACCAATTTTTTCTGTCTCCTCTCCTCTATAAATTGTTCCTTCAGCAGCGGTCATATCACGTCCTTGATGATTTAGAAAGAAGGAATAATCGACTGTCTCTTTGTCCACATATGAATATTGCCGTTTGACAGGGGTGCAGACAAACTTTTCGAGGAGACGCAGAATGTCAAGTGCTGCTTGACGTCTTTCATCTTGTTTTTTGGTTGGTTTGTCGATCATCTTCCTTGTTGTTTGACTGGTGTCCTTGCTAACTCCAATGGTATTACCTTGTCGTCTCACTATGCCTAAATGGAAAGGATGAAGCCCTTCAATTCCGTCCCGTTTTTGTGAATGAGAAACATGTTTAAAGGGTTTCAGGTCGTTAAAGGTGTGAAAGGAAGATAAGATGGTGTCTATGTTGGTCTGAGGAATCATGTGTGGTATACGAAGAACATGGAAGGGAAGTCCATTTGCTTTGATAGAACTGATCACGCCTTGAGGTATGGATAGGGTGAGCTGGCGAGGTGGACCAAGGTTGAGAGTGTTTAGACGTTGAAGGACAGTGTCAATGTTTTTTTGGGATCGTGCATGTTCAGGGAGTGTGAAGAAATGAATGAGCTCAGAAGGAATGTCGGGTTCAGGAATGGATGTGTCAAGGTTGTCGTCAAAGGTTCTTTGACGTCGTTTGTGGTATGGTTCTAATTTCTTCTGCTTCCCCTTGCTGTGTCTCCGTGTTTTTCCCATTCTCGATTTGTCTTCTTAGTATCCAGAGGAGCACCAAGGATTCATAAATGCGTCACTCTTTCAAAATCCGACAGGAGAGGGCAAGAGGGGACACAGTGAGGTACTCTGAAAGTCAGCCATGAACCCATGAAATAACAGAAGACGTGAAGAATGATGTGTGGAAGGGTGATAGCATCGAGTGTGCGTACCGGTTGTTCCGCTTCCTCTCGAAAATCTTAGTCCCGCTTCCTCTGAGTGATATGTCCCGCTTCCTCTCAGTGATATGTCCCGCTTCCTCTCAATGATGTGTCCCGCTTCCTCTCAAAAATCTTAGTTCCGCTTCCTCTCAGTGATATGTCCCGCTTCCTCTCAGTGATATGTCCCGCTTCCTCTCAAAAATCTTAGTCCCGCTTCCCTTCAGTAATCTTAGTCCCGCGTCCTCTCAATTTGTCCCGCTTCCTCTCAATGATCTCTTGTCTCGCTTCTTCTTGATAATCTCTGGTCCCGCTTTTGCCTGTCGATAATCTCTTGCTGTGTCGCCACTTGATTGGTTGGTCTATTCCATCTTGGTATTGTTTGAGGTGAAAGAAGAAGTAGATGGAGGGCGGCAAGGGAATCTGCTGACCCAACCTAGTTTAGGCCCGCGGGGTAAAACGCAAATTTGATTGTGGCGATTTGAAATTCGAGAATCGGAAGAACCATCGGGCCACCGTATAGGCGGAGTACGACTTCTGCGTACAACTCTTGAGGAACCCGTCCATAGGTACCCGTGATCCTGACACTGACCGGTCATGATTGCTTTGAAGACAACAAGCTCCTCTAACCTCATAACAAGGGGTGTAGAAGCCAATAATTGTTTACTGAGAACTAGATGATAATACAAAAGGGAAAAAGAGCATGCATCGATTCTACAAGTCTCTATACTTATCACAACTCACTTGTACGCAGCAAACCAGTGACTATTGAATAAAGTTCAGAGGAAGAGTTGAATAACGCAGATACTGAGAAAGAAACTTCCAATCGAGCACCTACAATGAAGCACTCTCTTGTTTCGTACCTGTATCTCCCTGAAGAGTCAGCACTAGGTCACTGTGCACAGTAACACTGTCCACTACAAGTATAGAAGACTACAACCTTCTGCTGTGACCTCTTCCACTATGGCGAGGGTGAGGCCTTTGTCCAGGCGCAGCCAGTGCCATTGTATCAGAGATCCCGTACGTGGATGTGATGACTCTGGCTGAGTACAAAGAGGACATGAGGTATCCAGGAGTATGTTATTTTCCTGCCCATATCCTAGAAAATGCACTATTGACAATACTGGACCTCCCCGTACCCGAATTCATCATTACACTTGAAGTAGACACCAATGAGGAACTTGAAACTTGCAACTAAAAGGACATGAAGAACTCACCCACCTGCAATATCTCCAACGTGGCCTGATGAAAACGACAGCGGAGAACCCCTTCAGTCAGGACGTTGATCGGTAGCATGATCAATAAGATTTCCGTCTATTAACCGCTGTTGTCTCACAGCAATGGTACTCAAGCTATGAGTGTTTTGACTAGACAAGGAAGAAAGTGAACCTCCAGTGTGAGACTCAGCAACATTTGAGAAGCAAGAGTTTACAATCCAATAGGAACAATGGTGAGTAAACGATGATGCATGGGGTTATTTGATGCTATTGGCCCTACTCCGTGAACCTCAGACCCATGAGTTCAATACCATGGTGGGGAGTACATACTTAGTGGCCAATGATCCGGAATTCGTTTGCATCGAATATGACCCACATATCGCGTGACTTGTTCGGGGAAGGAAGGCGACCAAACAAGTGTGACGGGTACCATACTTTCTTACTGATTCTCATAGAGGCCCGGACATGGATACCAGACGAGCTTCTACAATCTTGATGCCTCCTGCGTTGGTTCCGAGCACACTACCAAGGGAAGGTATTATGGAAGCATGGGTCTCGAGAGAGAAACGCCTCAGTCTCTGTTAGCCAATAGGATCGTCCCAGGACGGCCGAACCGCCGTTAGATGATTTGTAAGACGCGATCGATCAGTACCGAAAACGTCTCCAATGTAGAGAGTTAATTGAAGAGAAAAGAGTATGCATACTGTCAATCTATCTACCTATTTATCATACTGAAATCTATCCTGCTGATTCATCTGCTTAGCAATGAATGAATAAGTAGATGAGTCATCTATCTAAGAAGCTTACGAGTCGTCTCTCACATGATTACCCCTTCCGTCGAATATTTCTCCGTTCAACTTATCCTCTGAACTCTATTTGATCGTCTCTGGTTTACTGCGTGTGAGTGGAATGGGATAAGTATAGAGACATGTAGAATCGATGGATGCTCTTTTCCCCCTCTGTATTATCATCTGATTATCAGCAAACAGCTCGGCCGTTCACCGTGCGCGTCTCGAGATAAACCACAATCCGTGAGAAAACTGCCTGGCCTTCCCATTTAGTTAATTACTACATTGGGAAACGTTCTCATGCATTACAAACCTGCCGAGAAAAAAACACCAGATGTGTGGGAATTAAATTGACAAGCGTGGGAACGTGTGATAGACTAGATACCCTACCTTTCATGACTGAGGATGTGTTTCACACGTAGAAGGAGCTCGCGGATTCGAGTGCACAACTCAAATAGAGCCCTTTTCCCCACCGACCCTTACAACATCTTCTTCTCAATCATAGAGAGCTCCATGATGAGTCCGACCAATACAGAAACCCTCCAATCCAAGCTTCTAGACGCTATCAACAGGTTTTGTGCATCTCTATGCGGGGATGCCTACGGGAGCGACGATCTCCACGCAGGTTCAACTAGAAAAGCTCGTGAAGGTTGCTATCCTTCCACCACAATGATAACCGGGTTGGAAAAAAAACATTGGGCTTACCCCGGTCTGCAGCCAAACTTGTTGGACTCACCTCCCTCGTATGAACAGTCCCAGGGTGATGCCAACACAAGTCATACGATTCAATCAGAGGTAGGTCGGATATGACCTCATACATATGCCAGCCTGATAATACCAGAATCACATTGTTCTCTGGGCCCCGGACACGATTGTCATAGCTTATTCCGACCGCACACGTGAGGGTCAAACAGCCGGATCAACTGTCTCCGCGGCGGTCACGGTCTGGAGGCTTCATTCTGATTGCAGCCAGGTCGGAGGTAATCCCCACACCGGCTGGATGATAGAATTCGACCAGCTCCTACAGCAAAGCAGGCACATAGCGTCAAATGCTAATGGTGTTTTGGATGAGGGGAGTTTCAAGATGACAGCATACACTAAAACTGGCACAAAGGAGTGTCACTACAGGGTTCTGAAGTCCCATGGGATAGAGATGGACTTTTACGACGGTGAGACGGCGGATCTGATTAAGAAACGCATGAAAGAGGCAATTGCAAATAAGGGGTGTCCAATTGCCTTTCAGTGTCTTTCAGTACCCCCAAGTCAGGAAGATGACAGTGGAGAACCCCAAGACCGAGATGAAACATACTTTGTTGGCGTTCAGTATGATCATTTGAGCCCTCTCGTCTCGCCAGAGGTAAACAATTTTGGTAATCTTGAGACCCCAATGCTGGAGTTGGGAGTGATTGGGGGTGCAACAACACATCTTAGCTGTCGACCCACAGCACACGGAGGAGGGCTGCTTGTCAGAGCGGCAAGATGTAAGGACCTGTTCTCCATCACTCACAGTGATTATGATCGTGACACTAACTCAGGAAACATACAATGAGGAATGCATAGGAGTGAGAGAACTTGTGGCTGTTACACGATCGAGTAGATGCCATTGACTTGAGCGCCACATTGACTTTACCCTCTTTCACCAACGCAACTCAATATATCTCTTGCTTTCTCCGTGATGACTCATTTACAGACGCATGGTGGACCCGCAGAATCTGCTCATGCTTCGTAGTAATGCCTTCCGAGCGGTCACCCCAGATATCAAACATATGAATCTCTATGTCAGGAACTGAGTACCCCTTATAAGGGAACTCGACATCTTCCAGGAAGATGTCGAGTATTGAGCCTTTTAGCGAGGACGTTATGATGCAGGTCCCTTACTGCATTCATGACACTCTGGTGTGTCATTCATCAATCATCTGATGAACTTTTCACAGGTCTGACATCTGGCGTCCTGGACTGCGACTCGAATGGTGTCGGTCGACTGTATGCCTTCGTTAAATTCCCTTATACTACCATCAATATGTGTGACGCTGCTGATAGGCTGAGAAGTCCGGAATACTGTCATCAAATACAATGGTGGCGTCCGATGACATGGAACGTCAGTCATTGACCCCACCCTACTGGAAGGGACATTGCGGGAAAACTAGACCCAGCGTGCATGGTCATGACAAGGTGAGCTTCACTACATTGCAAACGTACGAGCGACCATCGACTATCCTGACCTGACGGGCCACTCACTACTACCATCTCGACCACACTCTCCATCCGGCATGATCCCCAAAAATCCCGACGGACGGCCGGCCCGGAGACGCCGGTAGGTCCAACGTTGCTATTCTTGCTTGCGCACATTGTGCAGCAACCTTGCTGGCCAACATCCTTGAGCCATGAAAGTGAGTATGACGGTGTCCTATCGAAGGCTACTCTGACTGGGTAGGAGTCTGTCACCATCACCTCCTACACCGTCCGAGATGTGCGATGGCCGACCAGCCTAGATCGAATCGGGGCTGATGCCATGAATACCGCAGGTGACGACGCTCATGGTCGGATCTACTTCCAGTGAGTGGACCTGGGAGACATCCAGTATTCCATGCTGATCATGTAGTACCAACACTGAGCTCGTCGGTGTGGGTTGGTCATTCTCCAACGGGCAGGGTAATGAGTGAGTGCCGGTGCCGCCCCAATGGAGCTATCACTCTTAATGCTGCATGTACTTCCTACTACCTCCCATCAGTTACATGGATTCATTACTCACATTTAGAGTACTCTGTACCGCACTTCATGCTTTTGCACCACGATATATCGGCCAAACCCTTGCCTCTCTCGTTGATGATTTCGCCACGACCCATCGAGAAGCGGTTTCTGGTCAGATTCGATTCATGTCCCCCGAGCGAGGTGTCATGCAGTTAGCCACTTGTGCCGTTCTGAACGCTATCTGGGATCTATGGGCTAAATCAGAGAAGAAGCCTCTATGGCGGCTGGTGTGCGACATGACACCCAAAGAGTATGTTCAATGCATCGACTTCCGTTACCTCACCGACGCGATCACACCGGAGGAAGCGATTGCTCTCCTGCAGAGAGCTAGTAAGGGAAGAGAGGAGAGGGAGAAGGTGGTAAAGGAAAGCAGAGCCGTACCTGGGTACAGTACAAGCATTGGTGGACTGGGTACAAGCGATGAAGGAGTGGAGGAGCTTTTGACACTCGCTGTGGAACAGGGTTTTACTCGATTCAAGGTGAGTTGCATTGCTTCAATGCTTCTTTGACTTTTGTCCCTTTATTCTATTGCTTTCTTATGGGAAAAGGATTACAAGCTAACGTTCAGCTTCGCCTTGGACTCGGCGTCGAACGTGATAAGAAACGACTGGCTATAATCCGTCGGATAGCTGGTTGGGACGCAACTATCTTCACGGATGCCAACGAGCAATGGGATGTTCCTACTGCGGTGTGGTACCTACCTCAACTTGCCGAGTTTAAACCAGTTTTCATTGAGGAACCAACCAGTCCGGATGATATACTGGGGCATGCGAAAGTACGAGCGGCGTTGAAGGAGTACAACATCGGTGTGGCAACGTGAGCTAGGAGATTTCATTTCCCCCCCCCAAACACTCCACTCGACTCACTCCTCTTCCCCAATTTCATTCGTCCTCTTTGTGTATATTTTGTCATATCACTAAAGCGGGAATCGATATTAGTCGCCAAACAATCGGGTAGCTTTCGGCTGACACGTGCAGAGGGGAGCATGTCAACAACCGAGTCATGTTCAAACAATTTCTCCAAGCCGAAGCTGTCGACTACCTCCAACTCGACGCCGTTCGGTTATCAGGTGTGAACGAAATCCTTTCTGTCCTTCTCCTGGCGGCCAAGTTCAAAGTTCCCATCGTGCCCCACTCTGGTGGCGTTGGGATGGTAGAGCTCTGTCAACATATCAGTACAATCGATTACCTCATGGTATCCGGCAAAGAGAGCATGATGGAATACACAAAGCACCACCACGATGATTTCCTGGCAGGCGCTCAAGTCGAGGACGGATATCACACCACGCCATCACAGCCGGGATATTCGAGCGATCTACACCCATGGGTATATGACAAGTACGAGTGTCCCAATGGCTCATACTGGAAGTCGGAGCAGGGATTGACAATGCTGCAGGATAAATGGAGGGGCGTGATTGGAAGGCAGACTTCATAGCGATTAGTAGATTGATTATCATCAAAAAGCCTAAAGACCGTGGCCAATTTCCGCTGTTGCATGCATGGCCGGTAGCGTATCCTACATTACCTGAGCCATCTTTTTCTCCAGAAACTCCTTACTCTGAGCTTCCAGCTTGCTGAACACATCCAGCGAAAAGCCGAGGTACTCCTTCGTGACAGCATCCAACTCGTTAATCTTGTCCAACGCACCCGATTCCAAATAATCGATGCTTATAACTTCTTTGATCCAATCTTCCTCTTGAACGGCACTCTGAGGGTCCACCTTCGCCACCTCAACGAGTGACAATTTGACTTGATCGTGAAGAGGAGCTTCCCATTTTTCCCATGTGAAATCGTGATCTTCCATCTGTTTACGAATGGGGATTTTCCATAGTCCCTTCTTATATTCCGGTACATCGCCACAGACGAGCAGGTCTTCGAGTGTCGGTTTGTTTAGAGTGAGATGATGAGCGCCAAGCTCGTATAAGGCTAGACATTCGCGAGCAGACACGCATCTGTGACAAATCAGCGTTCAGCTATGGTTGGAGATTTTTGACCACACACCATACATCACATGTCACAATGGAAGTTGAAAGGCGGGAAGGGAGAACATGAGGAATTGAGAGGACAAGCTCGAGAGAGCAGGTAGCGGGACTGGAAGATGTTGGGACCAAAAGTTGAGACGGATCTCGAAGGAGGGGTAGGAAGAAGGTGAGGAGGAAGCGGACAATATAGTCACTTACGAGGCCGTTTTGATCTGAGGCTGCTTCTGTCCAGTACTTTCCTCCAGGTAGTCATACAGTAACCTCAATCGAGCGTGCCGAGAGGCCATAGGGTGTTCCGTCGCTGGTTGCGGGACATCAGCCCATTCGGCTGCGTCAAACCACGCCTTCGGACTATTGAAGTACATGCTGACGGCGTACTGTCCCACTTGAGAGGCTGCGGCGGCTTGAAAGATGTTGAACAGACCAGTGCCGAGAGTGTCGATACCATCGTTTTGGAGTATTTTGGCAGCGGCGATGCCAGCACTAGTTAAAGGAACTTTGACGCATGTCCTCTCACTAGGAATCAGCAACGCGCCCACATGACTTGTACAGTGTACGGGAAGTCCCAGATCGGAATTCGCCTCACTCCCTTCCTTTCTTCCCTTCTCCTCCCATGATCAACAAACTTGTAATTTAGGCCTCATCAACTATGAGCTCTCCTGTGGAGTTCCTCCAGGAGTCAACAGATAACACAGATGATCATCTCTACCCTTCTAACGTTGACAACCTGCTTCCCGTCATACGTGCAGCATATCCAAATAATAATCCCACAGGGAAAAATGGGAAGAGAGCATCTCGTAAGTGATTCAGAAGGAAAAGACACTCACTCTGGCAGCTGCCTTAAGTGGGGAGTTACAAGCCGCCCTGCAGCAGTACTATACCGAAGGGATGACAAATTGGAAGGCGATCAATGAACGGCTGAAGAAAGAGCATGGGAATAATGTAGGCTTTGGGTATGTCCCACTTATTGTCAATAGTCGCTCACACCTCAGTTCTCGATCTAGCTTCTTTCGTGCTACCAACTTCTATGGGCTTGGGACATCTAGAAAAAGCATGTTGTCTGTTCAAGATGCAGCACAAATCATGCAGGAGGAGATGGACGGTGACATCACCAATGTCATTGGAATTCGAGCCATGAAGCACCATATGACACTTCAAGGGTTTCTCCTTCCTAGGTAAGTACATAATGACAACGCTGAGGCTGATGGTCACCAGGGATCTTGTCTACAAAGCAATGAAAGAGTACAATCCACATGGCCTTGCGACTCGCCTACCAGGAAGCAAAAAGGTTGTTCGATCTCCCATCATTTCTGTCGGACCAAATGAACAATGATCAATTGATGGTCATGATAAGCTGGCTGCGTATGGCATAGGCATATATGGCATCCGTGATGTCTATTCGGGACGACTATTGTCACTGAAGGCAATGCCTTCTAACAGGCACAGTGAGGATGTACACTGTGTCTTCCTTGATGCAGCCCTCAAGTTTGGAGGTGAGTTCCCTAATCAAGGACAAAGCTCATGTCCTCAGGTTTTCCTCTACAGATTGCCAGTGACCGTGGTTCAGAGATAGGTGAAATCATTGCCACACAAATTGCATTTCGGTGAGTGATAGAATAGCGTGATAGAGAAAATATTCACCCTACAGAAATTCATACTCCACAGTAGGGCTGGATGAAGTCTTTCCCTACAAGCTTCTCAAGAGTACCCGGAAGATCACAATTGAACGATCCTGGCGCAATGTACGGGAAAATGTGGTTGATCAAGTCAAAGCTGCCCTTAATTCTGCCTATGAGTCAGGTACTGTTCACGATGGAGATCTGGTTCATCAGTACGTATGAGTTTTAAGATGGTGTCCCAATGCAGTGAAGATGTTGACAATGTAGATCACTCCTGAACTGGTTGGTTCCATCTGTAGTGCAACAAGCTTTGGACGACTTTATGAGAACATTCAATTCCTACCCTGTTCGATACCAAAAAGAAAAGGTTAATCCTTCCGGGGCGTCAAGAAATGAAATCTATTTCAATCCACAGCGATGGGGCCGCAGGGAGTGTTTGCAACCCTTTCCTGACATTGAGCTCATCAAGGAGTTCAGAAAGAAGGCGGGTCAGAGTGCGCAGATGACTTGGGTATCTCCTGAAGTGCTGCAGTGTTGCATGGATATTGTGCATGTGGAAGCTTTAGAGTACCCTCCAAAGAGCTGGGACATGGCATGGACTCTGTTCAGAGAAGTAGAACCCAAGGTACTGAAGGAATTACAGCAGCTATGGTTGATGCTATAGCTAGTGAAGTGCCACATGCAATTTGTCTGTTGAAAGGAAACTCCGATGTTGTTCACTTCTTGCGAAACTGTTTGTCTCATCTTCCCATCACATATCTTCTTCCAGTATGGGTCATACCTGTCGGGATTGTGAGAGGACTTTTGTCAAGAATTGTTCGGAATCTGGTCATTGTCCACGGTGCTGCAAGATTGAGCAGGTTAGTACCAGACCAAAGCCGACAGACAAGGAAATCAAGTATTATGAGGTGAGTTGAGCAGTACCACACGGGTATGGGTCTGATTATCAGTCGAGACCTCAATGTCTCACCTGTGGCATCTTTGGCACACAATTCTTCCAAAACAGTCCTTTTGAAGAGACGGACAATCCAAAAGTGTGTGACAAATGTAGACGTGATGGTAGGTCTTCAACGACACCAACACATTCGATTGATCTACACAGAACAAGCAGAAGCTCTTGCTCTAAGCCGTCAAAATGCACAGTCAAGTCTCCATGGATCAGCATTCAGGACAGCTACACCAATGGCCCAAGTCCGGATCTCTTCTGGTACTTGGCTGTTGGATGAAAGGACATCCAAAAGATGGCACACAAAGCCGGTCTGACAGCTCCAGGACCAGCGGTGCAGGTAAGAATCATGTTGCGTGAGTCGTTCCTCCCTCAACTGGGACATCTTGTTGACTTTGACAGGCCAAGACGGAAAGGTCCAAGAATGGCAGGCCTCTGTCTTTGACTCACTTTTCACTGGAAAGTGGAAGGAGAGTGTGCAAGCAAACGTCAATGAGGCCCTTCGTCTGGGTGAGCAGATGTGGAAACAAGGGAAAGGTGAGACAGAAACGGGGAAGAAATTTGAACAGTGAGTTGATGTCTGTAAGAGAGGCTGTACTGATTATAGATGTGCCCCACAAGTGGCATTGCTCAACCAAAAGGGACATCCTGTTGCGTTATCCCAAGAATATCTACCACTTACGTTGTTTGAATTCTTTACTGTGTACTGCAAACAGAACCGACTCTTCCTCCTGGTCAAAGATTTGGAGCAAACTGGCTACATCCTCGTCTTCATCATCCTCAACATAGATCATGTGGTGAGCAAATCAATTCCCAAAATGATTCATACTCATTGTATCAGTTGGAAGATAAACAATCGGACACGCAACATGGAAAAGCTCAAGATAGTCTCTCTCGTCTGTCAATGTCCAGGGTAATCACCAATCGTCTGTCTCGTCGGTCAACCCCTTACACACGCACAAACTATTCCCAAGCTACAACCGAAGGCAATAGTCTTGCTTCAAGTCAGTCTATCCCGGGTTCAGTATCAAGGACCTCCACCGCTTCTTGTGTTGGCCAGACAAGTGATCTTTTCACTGGTTTCCATGTATCAAGTCTAGCAGCACCGAACAAGGACATGCTCAGTGAGTTGTGCTATGTTCACGTTGTCATGCAGCTTACTTTCAGGTCGTATGGCACTATCTATTTCAAAAGCTCATGGGGGGTTAGGGGGTTAGGGGGTTACAGAGCGGTCCTGGGGGGGGGGGTTTTCCGTCCAGGCACGTAAACCAGGACTATGCTATACCGTTAGGAAACTAAAATCATCAGGAATTCAAATCTGCCGAGAACTTGTCTGGGGGCCGAGTATTGAGAGCGCTACGGCCCGTCAAAGTTTGTGGTGTATCAAAATTCTACCAAAATCTCGTTGGTGGGGGAAAAGTCCTAGGGCAATGCTCTTGGTAGCAACTAGATGTGAGTATGCTAAGCCATTGGAAAGCTGAGATCAGGGTTACAGAGCGGTCCTGGGGGGGGGGTTTTCCGTCCAGGCACGTAAACCAGGACTATGCTATACCGTTAGGAAACTAGGGGGTTACAGCGCGATCCTGGGGGGGGGGGTTTTTCGTCCAGGGCCGGGAGGGGGATGTATGCTATACCAGTAGAAAGCTCTGATCGTGTAGATTCCAAATCTACAAAGACCTGGACTGGGGGCAAAGTATTGAGTGCGCTAGAGCCAGTCAAAGTTGGCTGGGGTATGATTTTTTGCTAAAATTTGGTCGATTTTTGAAAACTCCTCTGGTTTTGTTGTCAAATGTCAGAAGGTGTCAGTATGTAGTACCAGGGGATAGATCTGACTGTGGAGATTCAGGATCCGCAAGAGTAGAAGTGGGGGGCCCAGTATTGATGGCCACATGTGCATTCAAAGTTCATGCAGTAATCAATTTCATTGCAAAGTCCACCAATTTTTTCAAAACCTTGCAGTCTTTGCTGTGCAATGCCCACAGCTGTGAGTCGGGTGGACGCATCCATACATTGCAGCACTCACAGTCTGACCTCAGAAACCAAATTTGGGAGGGGCCAGAAATTCACGGTGCTACAACCAGTCACAGGTAGTGGTGAATTGAACTCTTCGCAAATCTGGTTTTTTCTTTCACTCCAAGATGATTCCTGCTGGACCTTTGCCTGTTGTCAGTGTGGATGAGCTTCCATCATGTAATGTTAATGACTGTGCAATGGTACATCTGATGCATCTCAAACATACATTGTGAATCACTTGCACTTTTCAAGGAAACCGGGCAAAGCCCGGAGGAAAACCTTGCAAAGGGGGCAGCGACCACTACTACAATAATGTACATATTACAAGTCTATTTCCATCCTAAGGCCAAATTCACCATCCATTATCCTACCTCTGATAGACATCCTCCAAAGACACCAGATTCTCATAATGCTCTTCTTGTAGGTACAATGGGATGAACCTTGTTTCAGGACCAAACTCTCCTACCTTGATCCATACCAGCTCCCAGCTCTCTGTTTTCTTCAGCACTGCCACCGCCACCTTGTAAGTCCTACATAGCGCCTCAAGCATGATGTGATCTCCCCATGTTCCCAATTGTGCCATCTCATGCAGATACCCATCCAGCCCATCCTCATCTTCCATGAACGGCTCAAGGAAATCCCGGTTCTTCCTGGCCCAGCTTATTGCTGCCCTTCTGACTGTCTTGTGTGTGGTGTTGATACCTCCAAAAGCCATTGCAAATGCTGTGAACATGCAATTACCATCGCCTTTTGTCCATCGAGTGTGTAGAAGGACCGGATGTATGGGCAGTCTGATAAGTTCGTCTCTTCGAGGAAGGTGGAACCTTGGCCTTATGAGTTTGATCCTCTCGTCATCATATTCTACAGGTTCAGGCTCCTCTGATTCTTGATCCTCGTTGGGGAAGATGCCTAGGGCATCCTTTGTTATCATCCCATCTGTTGCCAGCTTGGTGATCCATCTGACTATCTCCCCACCCTTGATGTGGTGGTGACATTCCTTGAACCCACATCGAAGTCGAAGAGGTGCTCTTCCCTTCAGCTGATACCTATGTCTATCGTCCGTTGGGTCAAGCTGACATGGTACGTAGCCGCATTTTGACCGTCTCCTGAAGATTTCTATCAACTCGAGTCTAGACTTGTCTGTTGGATATTTTGTGAGCAGGCAAGTGAGGATGTCCATCTCCACCTTGTCAGGTTCCGAATCAAGCCACCATGCCTCTTTGTCTGCTGACTTGGTCGGTTTTCGGACATCGGCATTCCACCCAAAAGAAGCGAGCACATCTGTCAGTCCTTGGATCTGCCTTCGAGAAGGCTTGTTTGTGTTGGCACCATCAAAGATTCCTGCGACTTGGGCTCTAGTGTAGACAGAATTTGCATTAGACAGCAACGTCTTTTTGTTCAATAATTTGGCATCTAGTTTCAAGTACTCCAGCTGGGGGTCAACTGAACTTGGGTTGATCCAGAATCGGGGATCGAGGAAGGGTGTTGCAGTTACAATTGTCCTTGCGTCCGCCAAGCTTGCTGCCTGCACCGTAACTTCTATCCTGAACCCCTCCATCTGTTCCTCATCTACCATTGAGAGATCATTGATGACCTCCTGAGCAGCCTTTCCCCTGCTCCTCAACCCAAATACTGTCTTTGGCACTACTCCTTCGAGGCGACTGTTAAATGACTTGATCACATGTACCAGACGAGGGTATACCTTGACTGAAAGCTCATGTCCACCATACTTGATATCCAGACGTACTGACCCAAAGTCTCCAGACGCTGGGATGACCATGGCATATGTTTTTGCTCGAGGAACGTTGCCTTGTACCGGAGCCCACAACCATATGTAAGCGGTCTTAAATGTCCTCCCGATATCCCACTGGTTCCACTTGGCTTGCGGATGGTCAACTTGAGCTGGCTCCCGGGTGATGTACCGGTCCAACATCTGCAGCTTCTGGCCGTATGCCTTTATACGTAGTGTCCTGCATCCTGCTCTTCTCAAGCAGTGTACAAATACTGAGACCGGCACGAGTACCCTTCCCATGCTCGCTTGATACTTGTGTTTACCCGGCTGCACGGTTTGTCTTCGCTGAAGCGCTTTAAAGAACCTCCCTTTAACTCTCTGGTCAACCCAGATCTGATGTACCGAACTGGCAAGCAGCATCCAACCACCAGCAGTGTCAATCGAAAACGAGCGGTTGGGCATGTGTGATGCTAGTTGTACCATTGCAAGGGGACTGTCAAACTCTGTTTGGTACCCATCTGGCGACATTGAGATTTCCCACTTGTCAACATCAAGCGGGTCCGGGCGATAGTTTTCGATATCAAGCAGAAAGTCTTCACCTTGAACACCCATAGTGGACAGTAATTGCAACCTCCATGGTTGTGCTGGTGTTGCTTGGACAGTGGGTTCTTGTATTTCACCAGGGTTTGGTCCCGTTGCATCTTGTTCAACTGGAGGTACCGTCTCTTCAACTGGGAGGGATATGACCTCTGGTGTTCTTTCTCGTGGAACACTTCTCCGCTTTCGAGCTGGTAGAAGAATGCAGTCAATCACAGCGCGCTTGGGCTTTGCTAGACGAGACGATCTCCTCAAGGGAGCCTGACTGGCTGACTGTTTGGCCATGTCCTGCTGATCAATTTTACGTCCAAAGAATATGCTTTCACCAACGTTTTTTGACAGATTTGTCACTTCAGAATGAGCTAGTAGCTTCAGATTGCAACTATAGGTCAACCCAATACCTTTGTCCCACTGCCGTACTCACATAATAGTAGTAATGTGATGATCTTTGTGGCGTATTGATTTAATGATTGTTTATTTGTTTGTTGTCTACCCTCAGCATAATCCCAGCACATGGGTCCCAAAACTCACTTGTAATGTATTGGAGTGTTGTTCTTGGGCACGGGGGTGGGGGGCGAGTCCACCTTGCCGGCTAAAATTGTGTATGTAATATCTTAGTCTCTTCGTCAGCGCCCCCAAAAGACACATGATGCATGCCAAATGTTACAAAGTATGATAATCCACCGTCCCTTCATTTACAGCCCATTGATCACCCCTACAATTTCACCAAAGCTCAAGCATAGCTACTGAAAACAAAATCAATTTAATTAACACCCGCACACCATTGCGCTCCTGCTCCCCCTTCAGTAGTCAAACACTTCAACACTGGCAACAGGGAGCTCAGGCCAGAACATCAAGTTCTCTGTAGCACAGCAGCATTACCCAGCTGTGATAAACTTTCACATTCAGTCTGTTACTAGACGATAACCCTGCAACTTCACTTCAAGGACCACCCCAATCCAAGAAACAGAAGCTGTGTGATAACACTCAGAAGACTGACTTTGGATATGAACCAATTCTGGCTCTGAGGTGGTACTTAGAATACAAACTTCCATTATCAAGGACGTCTCGGAACCATCTCGAGCTCCGGACCCGATTGTCCAACTTCACCCAGCAGCGGAACTCGAGGCGATGAACACCTGCAGAGCTGCGTGCCTCGGAAGTCTATGCCTCAGAGCCAACCACCTCTCCCCATAGGTGGCCGGGAAGTCTGTGATCCAGGTTACATGCAACAGATTTTGTCCCCGGCATGTAGCGGGACGAGAACTTCCGCTTCCAAGGACGTCTCGGAACCATCTCGAGCCCCGGACCCGATTGTCCAACTTCACCCAGCAGCGGAACTCGAGGCGATGAACACCTGCAGAGCTGCGTGCCTCGGAAGTCTATGCCTCAGAGCCAACCACCTCTCCCCATAGGTGGCCGGGAAGTCTGTGATCCAGGTTACATGCAACAGATTTTGTCCCCGGCATGTAGCGGGATGAGAACTTCCGTTTCCAAGGACGTTTCGGAGCCATCTCGAGCTCCGGACCCGATTGTCCAACTTCACCCAGCAGCGGAACTCGAGGCTATGAACACCTGCAGAGCTGCGTGCCTCGGAAGTCTATGCCTCAGAGCCAACCACCTCTCCTCATAGGTGGCCCGGAAGTCTGTAATCCAGGTTACATGAAACAGATTTCGTCCTCGGGACGTAGCGGGATGAGAACTTCCGTTTCCAAGGACGTTTTGGAGCCATCTCGAGCTGCGGTCCCAATTCTGCAACTTCACTCAACAGACGAACTCCGGCCGAAGAAAGCCCGCGGAGCTACAGCCCTTGGAAGTTCCATGCCCCGGAGAGGTTCGCCTCAGCCCCTATGTATGGCAACGGGGTCTGTGACCCAGTTTCCATCTGATGGGTTTTGTCTCCGGGACGTAGAGGGTCGGGAACTTCTGTTTTCGAGGACGTCTTGGAGCCGTCTCGAGCTCTGGTCCCGATTCTGCGACTTCACTTAACGGCCGAACTCCGGACGACGAACGCCCGCGGAGCTACGGGCTGTTGAAGTCCCGCCTTGAGGCCCCCCCACCATCCCAGGTGTGGTAACGGACCCGCAGTCACGTCGTGAACCATCTGCTGCGGGACTCATAGCCTCGTTTCCGCTCGTCTCCCGCTGCCGCAGCGTACTCAGAGGCTGTAGCAGCGACTTTACTTAATGGCCAAACTTAGTGCAACGAACAACCAGGGAGCTACGGGCCGTTGAAGTCCCGACCCGAGGCCCCCTCCAGCGTCCCCGGGGAGGCGATGGACCCGCAGTCACGTCTCGAACAAGCTGCTGCGGGACTCGTAGCCTGGTTTCCGCTCGTCTCTCGTTGCCGCAGCGTACTCCAAGGCTGTAGCAGCGACTTTACTTAACGGCCAAACTTAGTGCAACGAACACCCAGGGAGCTACGGGCCGTTGAAGTCCCGACCCGAGGCCCCCTCCACCGTCCCCGGGGAGGCGATGGACCCGCAGTCACGTCTCGAACAAGCTGCTGCGGGACGCGTAACTTTGTCCAGCACTGCGTGCTGTCAGGCGCCCATTTTGGCCCGTTTTCGGCCATTTCTGGGCCGTTTTGGGCCCGTAGCGGCTCGTTTCGAAGCCCCACCGCCCCCCCAGAGGTGGCAAAGAAGTCTGTGACCCATTTTACATGTGACGAAGGCCCCTGAGCGCGAAAAACAGCCAAAAAACGAAAAAAAAGTCGATTTTTGGTGGTGTTACCCCCTATTTAGGGGGATTTTGGGAACCGAAAACCCGGTTCGAATGATGATTTCCCCCCTCGAATGTTGTGAGCGCCCCAGAAGCCTTATTCTTGGCCTTAGGGAGGCTCTCGGGACCCTAATTAAGGTCAGGATGTCGCTCAGTAGCGGGCGGGGGAAGCTGCTTGGCGGAGGTACCACGTCAAAGACGCAGTGGTCGGACTGTGGTTGTGGTTTTTGCCTAAGTTCTACTGCAAGCTCCAAAGCCTACAGGGCGCTGGCCTCAGCATGCCCCAGTTCCCAGGCTGGTCTCATATACGGCCGGTTGCATTTGGTTGCCAGTTCAATAGTAGATCTGTAGTCAATTAGCTATGCTGAAGCAACATTCAAACTGACCTAACACAGCGATTGTCAAATGTTATTGAGACGTTTTGGGGGATTATCGAGCGTCTCTGGCGTGGCTTTCTAAAGTTCCTAAATGACAATTAGTCAAAACGCGACCGCTGCGGAGTTTGATTAGGAGTGCAACTTGCCTGTCCAATACAACTCCGTGGATTAGTAATACTTCGGGCGACGTTATAGTAGTTTTTGATATCTTAATATTGCCCCCACAAACTGGATTAGAAAGTGTATTAGTATATCTTGACCGCTTAGTGTCCAGCCCCAGCCGTAAATCCGATTAGTAGACTTTGCTATTGATGGTCAGTAACACTTCCTTAGCAGATTAGTAGTGGATTAGTGTTGCTCGACCGACATTCAAACTGACGTAACACGGCAATTACTGAAGATTACCGGGACGTTTTGCTGGATTATCGAGCGTCTCTGGCGTGACTTTCTAAAGTTTGTAAGTCACCATTAGCAAAAACACGACGCCCACAGAGTTTGATTAGAAATGCAACTTGTCAGTCCAATACAACTCCGTGGATCAGTAATACTTCGGGCGACGTTATAGTAGTTTTTGATACCTTAATATTGCCCCCACAAACTGGATTAGAAAGTGTATTAGTATATCTTGACCGCTTAGTGTCCAGCCCCAGCCGTAAATCTGATTAGTAGACTTTGCTATTGATGGTCAGTAACGCTTCCTTAGCAGATTAGTAGTGGATTAGTGTTGCTCGACCGACATCCAAACTGACGTAACACGGCAATTACTGAAGATTACCGGGACGTTTTGCTGGATTATCGAGTGTCTCTGGCAGGGCTTTCTAAAGTTTGTAAGTCACCATTAGCAAAAACACGACGCCCACAGAGTTTGATTAGAAATGCAACTTGTCAGTCCAATGCAACTCCGTGGATTAGTAATACTTTGGGCGAGTTTATAGTAGTTTTTGATACCTTAGTATTGCCCCCACAAACTGGATTAGAAAGTGTATTAGTATATCTCGACCGCTTAGTGTCCAGCCCCAGCCGTAAATCCGATTAGTAGACTTTGCTATTGATGGTCAGTAACACTTCCTTAGCAGATTAGTAGGACATCAGTAGCTGGTATTAGCGACATTTCTTATTGAAATAGGATTCTGAAATTAGACTTCCAAATTTGATTACTACCTCAAATCTGAACATTATTAGGACATTTTGAGTGATTATTGGGGGTCATGATCAGACCTTTCTAATAGACCTTAGTTGTGATTAGTAAAAATTGTAACCCCACCGAGTTTTATTAGTCTTCCGTCACTCTGAAGTCACGTCTCATTAGTAAAAGTCAGCCGATTAGTAATGTTTGACATGTGGATCAGCGTTTATAGACGGACACTAATCATGGTTTCACCGGATGGGATTAGCATTGCATTACTAATTATCAGTACCTAGTGCGACACACCAAGTTTTAATTGTTATTAGTAACTGGTATAAGTGACATTTCTATTGAAATAGGATTCTGAAATTAGACTTCCAACTTTGATTACTACCTCAGATCTGAACATTATTAGGACATTTCGAGTGATTATCGAGGGTCATTACCGGACCTTCCTAGTAGACCTTACATGTGATCAGTAAAAATTGGATCCCCACCGAGTTGGATTAGTAGTCCGTCGCTCCGAAGTCACGTCCCATTAGTAAAAGTCAACCGATTAGTAATGTTTGACATGTGGATTAGCGTTCATAGACGAAGACTAATCGAGGTTACACCGGATAGGATTAGCATTGAATTACTAATTCTCAATACCGAGTGAAATTGAAATCTGGATTAGTAACTGGTATTAGTGACATTTCTTGATGGAATAGGATTCTGAAATCAGACTTCCAACTTTGATTACTACCTCAGATCTCAACATTACTAGGATATTTTGAGTGATTATCGGGGGTCATCATCAGAGCTTTCTAATACACCTGACTTGTGATTAGTAAAAATCGTCACCCCACCGAGTTGGATTAGTAGTCCGTCGCTCCGAAGTCACGTCCCATTAGTAAAAGTCAACCAATTAGTAATGTTTGACATGTGGATTAGCGTTCATAGATGAAGACTAATCGAGGTTACACCGGATAGGATTAGCAATGGATTACTAATTCTCAATACCGAGTGCGACACACCAAATTGAAATCTGGATTAGTAACTGGTATTAGTGACATTTCTTATTGGAATAGGATTCTGAAATCAGACTTCCAACTTTGATTACTACCTCAGATCTCAACATTACTAGGATATTTTGAGTGATTATCGGGGGTCATCATCAGAGCTTTCTAATACACCTAACTTGTGATTAGTAAAAATCGTCACCCTACCGAGTTGGATTAGTAGTCCGTCGCTCCAAAGTCACATCTCATTAGTAAAAGTCAACCGATTAGTAATGTTTGACATGTGGATTAGCGTTCATAGACGAAGACTAATCGAGGTTACACCGGATAGGATTAGCATTCAATTACTAATTCTCAAGACCTAATTGACCAGGAGAAGTTCGAATGTGCATCAGTATAATGTATTAGGGCGAATACAATACGTTCAAACCCTTGCTGCACTGTCAATACTCAACTTTTTTGGGTCGTTGAAAAAGTTTTAGGTATCTCATTGTTGGCTTAATAGATGGGCAAACCTCTGCAGCACATTTCCAAGAATTGACACTGCAGTTTGAGGTTGAGTCACCCACCTTTAAACCTCCGCTGCACCATCAATACTGAACTTTTTTGCCACGTTCGAAAACTTTTGGGCAGGTAATTTTTGGCTTGTCAGTACCGCACACCTCCGGGGCAGTGTTCTGAAAATTGATGCCACAGTTTGAAGATGAGTGACTCCGCTTCAAACCCCCGCTGCACAATCAATACTGAACTTTTTTGCCACGTTGGAAAACTTTTGGGCAGGTAATTTTTGGCTTGATAGAACTGCACACCTCCGGGGCAGAGTTCTGAAAACTGATGCCACAGTTTGAGGATGAGTGACTCCGCTTCAAACCCCCGCTGCACCACCAATACTGAACTTTTTTGCCGCGTTGGAAAACTTTTGGGCAGCTCATGTTTGGCATGACAGTACAGCAAGACTGTTGGGCAGAGTTCTGAAAACTGATGCCACAGTTTGAGGATGAGTGACCCCGCTTCAAACCCCCGCTGCACCACCAATACTGAACTTTTTTGCCGCGTTGGAGAACTTTTGGGCAGGTCATTTTTGGCTTGACAGTATGGCAAGACTGTTGGGCTGATTTCTAAAAATTGACCCAGCAGTCTGGGCATGAGTGACTCTGCTTCAAACCCCCACTGCACCACCAATACTGAACTTTTTTCCCGCGTTGGAAAACTTTTGGGTGGGTCATTTTTGGCTTGATAGTACCGCACACCTCCGGGGCAGAGTTCTGAAAACTGATGGCACAGTTTGAGGATGAGTGACTCCGCTTCAAACCCCCGCTGCACCATCAATACTGAACTTTTTTGCCGCGTTGGAAAACTTTTGGGTAGGTAATTTTTGGCTTGATAGAACCGCACACCTCCGGGGCAGAGTTCTGAAAACTGATGCCACAGTTTGAGGATGAGTGACTCCGCTTCAAACCCCCGCTGCACCATCAATACTGGACTTTTTCGCCACGTTGGAGAACTTTTGCGCAGGTGATTTTGGGCTTCACAGTACCGCAAACCGACATGGCACATTTCCAAGAATTGACTCTGCAGTTTTAGGATGAGTGACTCCGCTTCAAACCCCTGCTGCACCACCAATACTGAACTTTTTTGCCGCGTTGGAAAACTTTTGGGCAGCTCATGTTTGGCATGACAGTACAGCAAGACTGTTGGGCAGAGTTCTGAAAACTGATGCCACAGTTTGAGGATGAGTGACCCCGCTTCAAACCCCCGCTGCACCACCAATACTGAACTTTTTTGCCGCGTTGGAGAACTTTTGAGCAGGTCATTTTTGGCTTGACAGTACGGCAAGACTGTTGGGCTGATTTCTAAAAACTGACCCAGCAGGCTGGGGATGAGTGACTCCGCTTCAAACCCCTAACAATATTCTGCGGTCACCGGGGGGGCCCAGTGACTGCCCCACCCTGCTGGGGGCCTCCCCCCGATAGTCACTGGGGGTCTATCTGGTGCAATACTGCACATCTTGAGGTTCTCTCTTCACCAGGATGTAGCTGACATCCAGGGCTTTCAGAATGTGGCTTCAGCAGAGCTTCTGTGGGGGTTTTGACAAAACTGTATGCATCAGAAGAGAAAAAACAGCCTCTTCACTTTGAAAAAGCCTGGGTGGGGGAGTCACTGGGGGGTCAAAATGGACCCCCCAATAGTCACTGGGGGTCTATCTGGTGCAATACTGCACATCTTGAGCTTTTCTCTTCACCAGGATGTAGCTGACATCAAGGGCTTTCAGAATCTATCTTCAGGGGAGCTTATGTGGGGGTTTTGACAAGACTGTATGCATCAGAAGAGAAAAAACAGCCTCTTCACTTTGAAAAAGCCTGGGTGGGGGAGTCACTGGGGGGTCAAAATGGACCCCCCAATAGTCACTGGGGGTCTATCTGGTGCAATACTGCACATCTTGAGCTTTTCTCTTCACCAGGATGTAGCTGACATCAAGGGCTTTCAGAATCTATCTTCGGGGGAGCTTATGTGGGGGTTTTGACAAAACTGAATGCATCAGAAGAGAAAAAACAGCCTCTTCACTTTGAAAAAGCCTGGGTGGGGGAGTCACTGGGGGGTCAAAATGGACCCCCCAATAGTCACTGGGGGTCTATCTGGTGCAATACTGCACATCTTGAGCTTTTCTCTTCACCAGGATGTAGCTGACATCAAGGGCTTTCAGAATTGGTCTTCAGCAGAGCTTATGTGGGGCTTTTGACTGACCTGTATGTATCAGAAAGGAAAGACTTATCTTTTTTCATCAAAAAAGGCTTGTTGGGGGAGTCACTGGGGGGGTCAGAATGGACCCCTCAATAGTCACTGGGGGTCCATCTACTGCAATACTGCACATCTTGAGGTTTTCTCTTCACCCAGATGTAGCTGACACCCAGGGCTTTTGGAATCTGTCTTTAGCAGCACCTAACTAGGGGTTTTGACAGGTCTGTAGGCACAGAGGATGGAAAGACACTTTTTCACTTCTGAAAACCCAAGTGCCACATATCACAACTCGCAGGCCACTATGAATCACCTTCAAACACCTTTGCCTGTGCATGCCAGACACCTACCCAGCTTTGGTGTGGATCTTTCTCTCACCCCCATCATGCCAGCATACTATCAAGTGAACACCCCACTGAGAGCAGATGTAAATGGCAATTGTAAGTTGCATTGCAGAGTACTATTCAGCTTGCAGCACTGATATCAGATATCACAAGCATGGAAGTAGGCTGGGCCACCTTTCATGAGCATCTCCTGTCAACTTCAGATCTACCTTATCTGAATGACTTTCAAGTTAGCTTCTGCCTGTCTATGCTTCAGGGGTCAATAGAGCCAACTATAGCAGGATGCTGGTGTGAGTTTCTCCCCACCAAGTGGAAGCTGATCTTGAAAGCTGATTGATAGCCCATGTTTCCCTTCCTGGCTCACCCAATGTCTCTCTCCATGCCCATGTCAATCTGCTGCTACTCAGATTGGAGATCATTGGTGTGTTCTGGGAATGGTGTGATTTCAGGGGGGTCAATCATTCTCTCAATGTGATAGACCCAGGTCAACTCCAGTTTTACCTGTGGAGGCTCATGGAGAGCAGAGGTTTGGAAGCAGTGTCACAGTTCTTCATGGCACTGTATCAGCATGTACCAGATGGACATGCCTCAAGGCTTTGCTATTATGTTTTGAGGTTAATGGGTACTGAACTTTGAAGTATGTATCCTGGTCTGTTCTGATATGGTGAAGGCTCATGAACAGTCCTCTCAAAAATAAGTTCCTTCAATCCATCATGGCAGATCATTTTATCCAAATGGATACAGATGCCTCTTCCCAAATCAAGAATATGGATGCATCATTTGATTTTAGTATGATGAGCTACTGAACCAGTTGGATCTCTTGCAATGACATTTCTACACCTCTTGAAAGTAATCCTCTTTTCAGACATCTCTTCTGCTCTGGTGGTCAGTCAACAGTCAGATTTCAATATAAAGACCTACTTCTACTCCTTGCCTTTTCCCTTGCCCTTGCCAGTGTTGCTAGAGCCAACCTCTTCCTTTACTTGCTTAGCTCTCATCTCCCTCTTCCTAGCTCTTTGCTTTGCCTTTCTAATTCTCTCCTTCTCCCTTTTTTCTGCCTTTGCCTTCTCACTCATCACAGATCTTTTCCTCCCTGCACTACTGCTCTCTGCCACTCCTTCCCTGTCCTGCCTGTTGAATATCTCTGCCTGGGTCTCCAACTGTTGGGGAGGTTCCACTTGAGGTCTGGGAGAGAGTTGAGGCATGTAGTAGCTAGGCCCAAAGAAGTGACAAGAAGTGGTATTGTTTCTGGAAGGGTGAGAAAGGGGAGGTGGAACAACAGGAGTATCCTGGAGGTATGATTGCTGAGGGGATGGTACTTGAGCAGTAAGTTCTGGCTGGGCTGGTTGGAGATGGCAGACTCCTGAGTATTGAGTACCTTGGATAGAGGTCTTGATCTGTAGCTGAATCATAGATGGCTGAGGGTTGACCATGATAGACAGGATGAGGTGGGAAGGAAGTCTGAGGTTGTCTCTAGAGAGCTGGCTGCAAAGTTTCACAGAACTCTACCCAGACTGCCACATTGCATCATCTCCATATCTCCATATCTCCATATCTCCATATCCCAACCATGAAATTTCTACAACTACTCTGATTCTGCTCTTTTGCTCAGTACAATATTCATCTCAAGCAGACCTCAAATCATAAGTCAAAATGGTCAGTCTGTACCTCACATCCCTGCCAAGCTGACCAGCAGTCTTTCAAGCTTCAAGGAACATTCATCTGCTCCCTTTGCAGCAAGTTCTGTGCAACACACTCTAATTATGGTTCACATCTAGCTATGCAGCATCCCTATGACATAGCTGTGAGTTATCTCCACTCCCTCAAACATTTCTGGTTGAGAGATAGGGTTGATGCTGACCAACAGCTTGTTTTCAAAGGAGATACCCAACCTTTCCTACATCAGACAAGGCTGGGACCCCATTCCAAATTCACCTGTGTGTCAGGATGTCCCTTTACCAGCACCAAGCATCTCCCCATGTTGGCTCATGCTGCATCCCATGTCAGAGAGTTATCCAGTGAGTTCTGTTCAGAAGTTGAAAACCTGCTGACATGTCAGATGAAGATTTGATCAGTCTTGATCCCAAAGATGAGCCAGAAAGACAACAGATCCTCTATATCCCAGGTGAGCCAAACACTTCACACTCCAGCCAGCCTCCCAGCTAGGTTTTCCACATTAAGCTACTGTACCTCTCCTCTCTTCTTGGAAGTTTCAGCTGTCCTCTGACCTCCAGATCAAGACCAAAACAAGTACCACATCCCTCTCAACCAAGAACCAGTCCTGACTACCCATGGTCTGGCCTATCATTCTATCCTTCAAGTCTTCATCTGCACCATCTGCAAGAATGGTGTCAGAGGTTCCCATCTCTTGGCTCATTGTCAACAACACTCTCTTCCCACCACCCCTCAAGATATCCTGGACATCCTGGCTACCTACACCCCTCACACTGGGAGTCACCCTCCACTCCCCAGCTTTACCAACAGTCAGCCCATGGTAGCCCTACCTTTACTCCCCATCCAAGAGGGGTTTTCATGTCATCTCTGCAGATTCTGCTGTCCTGCTCTCAACACCATGAAAAACCACTTTTCCAGACAACACAAAGGCAACCCTTACAAGGATCATTCCTCAAACACCCAGCTACAGTGTCTATACTCTCAAGGGACCAGGGTATTCTTCCCAGTTCAACAACCAGACCATGCTATTGTGGGAGACACACTCTACTCCAGATTCCTGCAATCTCTACCTCCTCAGCCCAAGACACAACCCATTGAGGCTTTGGGAGAGAAGGAGTATTCTCCATTGATGAGGAGGCTTGGGTGGATGAGACATGTGGAGGGGCATGATCCAGTACTGCTTTCCAGTTTGGTAGCTGGGCCCAGGGTGGATGAAGAGCATCTTCACATGCTGAAGAGAATGGTCAAGGGGTATTTCAAAGAGGTGGAGGAGGTTGTCAAGAAGACTCCAAATGA